TTTTTTTTTTTTTTTCAGTTTTCACAAAACAGTGCTTTTGTAAAGTGTGATAAAAGTGAATAACTGGAAAATAAAGGGAAAAAAGACACAAAATACAAGCCCAAATGTTTCTAGTCACACAGCGAGCACATCAAAATCATGATATCTGAAGAAAAAGTAGATAAACTGGACTTCACCAAACTGAAAAATGCTTTTCCTTCCAAAGACAGTATTAAGAAAGTGAAAAATAAATCACAAAATGGGGGAAAATATATCTAGATCATGTATCTACTAAGGGTCTATTATTGAGAACATATGAAAACCTCTTATAATTCAACAGTAAAAAACCAAATGGCCCAATTTAAATATTAACAAATATTAGAATAGACAGTCCTCCAAATAAGATACCAAAATAGCAATAATCACATGAAGATGCTCAATATTATAAGTCTTTAGAGAAACACATATTCAAATCACTTTATACCCACTAGAATCACTATAATAAAAAAGATACAAAATAAGTCTTGGCAAGGGTGTGAGAAATTTTTAACACTCATACCTTTTTGGTGGAATATCAAATGGTATAGTTGCTGTGAATACAGTTTGGCAGCTCTTCAAAAAGTTAATCATGTAGTTACCATATGGCCAAGGAATTCCACTTCCAGGTATATTTCTAAGAGAACTGAAAATATATGTTCATACAAAAACTTTTGTTTAAATGTCCATAGCAGTGGGAAAAAATCCAAATGTCTATTAACTGGGAAGTAGATAAACAAAATGTGGTATGTCAACACAATGGAGTATTACTCTGCAATAAAATGTGATTATGTACAACGTGAATGAAGCTTGAAAATATAGTGCAAAGTGAAAGAAACAAGAGACAAAGGCCATATATTGTTTCAATTGATATGAAATATCCAGAATAGGCAAATCCACAGAGAAAGAAAGTATACTAGTGGTTGCCAGGAGATGAAGTAGGGAGGTAGAATTGGAAGTGACTGCTAACAGGTGATGAGGTCTCTTTTGATGTGGGAGTAGGGGACAGAAATAGAAAAATAGGCCGGGCGCGGTGGCTCAAGCCTGTAATCCCAGCACTTTGGGAGGCCGAGGCGGGTGGATCACAAGGTCAAGAGGTCGAGACCATCCTGGTCAACATGGTGAAACCCTGTCTACTAAAACTACAAAAAAGTAGCTGGGCATGGTGGCGCGTGCCTGTAATCCCAGCTACTCAGGAGGCTGAGGCAGGAGAATTGCCTGACCCAGGAGGCGGAGGTTGCGGTGAGCCGAGATCGTGCCATTGCACTCCAGCCTGGGTAACAAGAGCGAAACTCCGTCTCAAAAAAAAAAAAAAAAAGAAATAGAAAAATAGAATTAAATGGTGATGGTTGCACACCATTGTGAATTACTGAAAGTCACTGAATCATATACTTTAAAAGTGTGAGTTTATGGTATGTGAATAAAGTCTCAATGGAAATTATGTAATACATAACCTGAATAATCCTGTATTTATTTAATAAATTGGACTTGTAGTTGAAAATTTTCAAAAAAGAAAAATCTATCTACATACAGCTTCTCTAGTGAATTCTATTAAGTATTTAAAGAAGAAGTAATATTATCAATTCAACACAAGTTCTTGCAAAACACTGAAGCAGAGGGAAAATTTCTCATTTTATGGTTTGTAATTACTGTGATACTAAAACTAGACAAAGACTTCACACACAAAAAAAACCCTAACAAACAAAAAAACTATGGACTTATATCCCTCATACACATGGGGTAAAATTTTTAAACAAAATTTTGGCAAAATGAACCCTACAATAAATGTGTAAGACAAACCCTGACCAAGAAAAACAATGTCCAAATAGAATTTTCCCCAGCAATACAAACTGTACTCAACATTAAATACACCAACATAATAGAATGGAAAACCATATGACCATTTGAATAGATAAATAAAAAGTGTTTGACAAAATTTAACATCCTTTGTTGATTAATAAAACAACTATCAGCTATTAGTGAAATGCCTGATACTGAGTCTGGGAAGGAAAAATACAAGATACATTTGGAATCATTCTGTGTTGGCGTCTTCCTGCTGTATGGCCAAGCATCACTTAATGATGGGGATACATTCTGAGAAATGCATCTTCAGGCGATTTCATTATAGCGCAAATGTTACACAGTATATGTATATAAACTTTGTATATGTACACAAACTACACATATATGGTATAGCCTATTGCTCCTAGACTACATACCTGTACAGCATATTACTGTATTGAATACTGTAAGCAATCATAACACAATGGTATATATTTACATATCTAAACAGAAAAGGTATGGTTAAAAAAAAGGCATAAGAATTAAAAAATATTAACAGTACACCTGTATAGGACACTTACCATGAATGGAGCCTGCATGACTGGAGGTTGCTCTGGGTAAGTCAGTAAATGAGTGGTGAGTGAATATGAAGAACTAGGACATTACTGTCTACTACTGTAGATTTTATAAACAGTGGACACTTAGGTTAACTAAATTTATAAAACAGTTTTTTCTTCAATAATAAATATACCTTAGTTTCCTGTAACTTTCTTGATTTATATTTTAATTTTTAAAAAAACTTTTTGGCTTTTTTAATCCCAGCAATTTGGGAAGCTGAGACATGCAGATCACGAGGTCAGAAGATCAAGATCATCCTGGCTAACACGGTGAAACTAAAGTACACCTGTCTCTACTAAAAGTACAAAAATTAGCCGGGCTTTGTGGCACGTGCCTGTAGTCCCAGCTACTCAGGAGGCCAAGGCAGGAGAATTGCTTGAATCTGGGAGGTGGTGGTTGCAATGAGGTGAGATTGCATCACTGCACTCCAGCCCAGGTGAGAGAGCCAGACTCTGCCTCAAATTAAAAAAAAAAAAAAAAATCTTTTTGACTCTCGTAATAACATTAAGGTTAAAACACACATTGGGCAGCTGTCCAAAATATTTCCTTTTTTTATATCCTTAAGACTAAGGATATAAAAAATAAATTTTTTAAAATTTTAATATCTACTTTTGATGTTTTTCTCTGTTCAAATTTTTTGTTAAAAATTAAGACACAGATACACACATTAGCATAGTCCTATACAGGGTCAGGATTATCAACATCTCTGTCTTTCACCTTCACATCTTATCCCACTAGAAGTTCATCAGGGGCAATAACGCACATGGAGCTGTCATCTATAATAACAATGACTTCTTCTGGAAGAAGACCTCCCTGAGGCTGTTTTACAGTTAACATTAAAATATATAAATAGAAGTAATGCACTCTAAAATAATTATAACCAGTATAATACAGCAAATACATATACTAGTAACATAGTCATTTATTATCAAGTATTATGTTCTGTACCTAATTATATGTACTAGACTTCTATGAGATTGGAAGCACAGGTTTGTTTACACCCATGTAGCCACAAACACAAATGTTGCTTTACAACTTTACATTTACTACAATGTCACTAGGTGATAGGAATTTTTTAGTTCCGTTATAATCTTATGGGACCATTGCCAAATATCCAGTTCATTCTTTACCCAAACTTCCTTATGTGGTACATGACTGGAATTCAGGACTATAATTCAATCTCCACCTTTCTGCAGCATTCTTCCTAAAACACATATGTTCTAGTCTCTTATCTTTAATTCATAAAGCTAAGTGACTCCCCATTGCCTGAAGTAAAAAGCCTAAATTCTATGCATAGCCTACTAAGTACTTCATTTTACCTCGATCTTTTTTGTAGAGATGGTCTGGCTATGTTGCCCAGGCTGGTCTCCAATTCTTGGGCTCAAGCCATCCACTGGCCTTAGCCTCCCAAAGTGCTGGAATTACAGGTGCAAGCCACCCAACCTAGCCAAAAATCACTTTTGCAAACTTACTCAAGTTATAGTGCTAACAAATATATTACCTGTGTGTGAGCAATGTTGTTTGAAGCAAAATCAACAAGAATGTAACATCCTATTCTTGACTAAAGAATGTAAGACGAGTCATTTCATCTAAAGAAGTAGGCTGGATTTACAACTCAGGTGCAGAACTTCATATAGCGAGTTTGAGGACACAAGGTTTTACATTTTTTTTAACTTGTAGTTTCCAGGGAAACAGAACCTTCAGTCAGCTGGGAGTCAAGATCGTATTGTTCCTAACAGAACCCTAAACAGTGTGCTTTTTCGCCCCCCATTTATTTATTTTATTGCATTTTAGGTTTTGGGGTACATATGAAGAACATGCAAGATTGTTGCATAGGTACACACGTGGCAGTGTGATTTGCTGCCTTCCTCCCCATCACCTGCATCTGGCATCTCTCCCCCTGCTATCCCTCCCCAGCACCCCACCCCCCACCTAAACAGTGCTCTTAATGGAAGTGTTCCTAATGTAACATGGTGAAGACATATCACCCTTCTCCTTTTGAGTGTTTGCTGCTGTCTTAACAGTAACTTCCACAGCCCTACTTCCTTCCTTCCCACTCCTAGATAAAGATCTGTGATACCCAGCTCAAAAGCTGATTCTAGCTACTCCTATCCCTTTCTTAGACTCATTCAGCAAAAGCCAGTACTCTACTATAGACCCTGTTTTCTCTTACTGAGAGCTCCAGGATTTCCCATGATACAGTTTGCTCTTCTGCAAACTTGACTTTAATGAGTTTTTTGACCCAAGACGCTTAGCTGTCATTGCGTTTGCAAATATGCATTAAAGAGCTTGGGATAGAGAGATAAATGTATTCATAAATTGCAAACGTATTCATGTTGCCAAACAGCAACAAACTATATGTGAACACTACGGTCCTACATACGAAATCTAATAAACCTAAATAATCTGCTGCAAATCCCTCTCTGAAAGACGGAGAGCGGGGAAACAAAGTAGCGGTAAACTGATGACCCAGAAACTGCGATCTTCCAAGCCAGAAGAGCGCACTGCCGCACAGAACTCTAATCTACCTCCTCCCTTCTCATTTCAGGCGCGCTAGAGGCATCGCGCATGCGCAACCCCGCTGGCCGTGCCGCGGTTCCTTCCTGCGCCTCTATCTGCATCCGGGTCTGTGGGATTTGCGCTCCACTGGCCGGCCGGGGTCGCTCAAGGGTGGCTGGGTGTTGGCAGTTCCCTCTGTTTCAGCGTCGGAGGAGTCGGTGGGTCAGCCGGTAAGTTTTGCGGGGAGGCAGCCCAAGAAGGGAACTGGGGCGGGGGACCCGGCAGCGACTTCGCCCTGTGCGGGCTTTGTGCCGAGACGGGACGCCGGGCCGGGGCGGAATGGGGTCTCAGGAGCCTCGAAGCTGGGGGCGCGTGGGGTCCCTGGCCCTGCCCCTCGCGGACCTGTTTGTCCCCTCCGGATTTGGGCCTCCAGGAGGAGGCGTCCCTGTGCTCTCCTCTCTCGGGGCTTTCTCCTGACACCTCTCCCTACACTTCTAACAGTCATCCTCATTTGCATTGGCTACGGTTTGCCGAGTGAGGGCTGAGGGGGGGTCTGCAGTCCCCGCCTCCTGGGCAGGAATCGCAGCCTTCTCTGCTGCCTGTCGTCCCTTCTCGGGTCGTTCCCACACGCGAGGCCAGGCCACCCTTACCCTGTCAGGTCAGGTCAGGTGGAGTAGGGAAAAGCTCGGAGCAGAGGATCTGCAAGTGCAGATTCTGGTGCTGGCCCCGCCGTTAACTAGCTGTGTAACTTCAGGGGTGTAGATGTCGCCATCCAGCTTTGAAGTTTTGCGATTTATATTCAGCAGCTCATTTTCCTAGCGATGCACATCCAAAATGAATCAGCACCTGAGGGAAGACGAGAGGAGGGTGGTGCTCTGCTGTTTTTTGATGCTGAATTGTCGTGATGCCAGGGAATTGCGTAAGACCTCAGTAGTTTGGATCTCTGAGGATTCGCAAAACCTGGAAAAGTCAAATCTTAAAATCCTAAATAAATGTGGTGGAGAAATCGTTTTTTCCTCTAAGTGAGGGGATTCAGTTGGGATTTTTGGAGGTTAACTCTGCACCCTCCAGAGAGTTTAAGAAAACAAAAAGTTGCCTGTACCTTGGTCTGAGAGACTTGCTTGAACTTCGTTTCAGTGAGGTGTGTAGTGTTCTTAACAAATTTCACCCTGATGACGAGTATCTCCTGTGATAATTTGTAAAAGCGGAGATTCTTTAGACTTCATTTCAGATCTTTTGAGTCACTGTCTCTAGGGAGAGGGACCTGAGAATCTGTATTTTTAACCAGCATCCTAAGTGATTCTAAACCGATAATACAACTTTGGCATATGGGTCTTTGAGTCAGATACACTTAGTTTTAAAGCCAACTCCCCGGGCCACATTTTAACGTCAGCAATAAACTTCTCAAAGTTACAATTTTCTGTATCTGAAGAATAAGGATAATGATTTCAACCTCAGAGACAATTAAGTGATTCTAAGCCCTTTGACAATGGAGTTCTTAATCATTTTTGTGTCTACAGAAACTAGTATAGTGTTTAGTATGTAATAGGTCTTCAAGTGTGTGTTGAACTGAGAAAAATAGCATAACCAGGACACAGAAGACATTGGAATGCTCTAATGCTTCTCATCCTCCTTACCTTGTTTTTTCATTTTATTAACAAATCAGTTTGCCATATATTCTTGTTAGAAGTAAATACATCATTTGATGGTCTTTACAGCCAATAACTGTTTCTGCTTATTTGGTTTAACTCTAACATTGTTTTTGACATTAGATTATGGATATATTTAAATGGAGGCTGAGTCCATTTGTTGGACTGAATTTATGACTATGTAATTTATTTTCTGTAAATAAATAGTTGTTACCGGGCCAGAATTCTAGATCATGGTGATCATAATTTTTTGTTGTTGTGTCAGAATTCTAAACTGTTGTCTTCTTAAAGACATTTAGATTCCATACATTCATTATAAGAAGACCTTTTACTCCCATTAATTTAGAAAATTTGACTTATTACTCTGTAAAGTATGTGGTTACAAAACCCTTTTACTCCCATTAATTTAGAAAATTTGACTTATTACTCTGTAAAGTATGCGGTTACAAAACTCAGGAATGCTGAAACAATACTATAAAAGGCTTGGTATTGGTAACCGATTCATTTAAATATAAAACTAAGAATTAAAATCTAAGAATGATGGGAATTGTTGTTATAGAATGTAGTGTGTAAGTGTTACAAGGGGATGTTTATACACTATGGGTGATAATATAAATTATTTCAACTTTATAGAAAAGTGTATGGAGATTTCTCGAAGAACTAAAAATAGAACTGCTATTTGATCAGACAATCTCACTACTGGGTATCTACCCAAAGAAAATAATTAATTATATCAAAAATATACCTACAGTCATTTTTATCGCAGGACTATTCACAGTGAGGGAGTAGAATGGAGGCAGGGAACTTAAGGCTAATTTGTGTTGCTTCCTAAAGCCGAATCAAATCCCATTTCCCCATGCCCAGGTAGCAAAGGATCAAAGGCTACTCTCCCTACAATACGCTGCCTTCCACCACCTCTCAGATGGAAGGGGAAAGTGCCTTGGATTGGAAGAGGACTACTTTGCTCAGCCCCACCTAATGATATGTAGGTTTTTAATTTTGAAGGTTTTTGCCAAATTGCCATACAGAGAGACTACAATACCAAAATCCACAGATGCTTAAGTCCCTCATCTTAAATGGCATAGTATTTAAAATAAATGCTGAGTATTCAAAAGAAAGACAAAGATGCAAACATCTTTTTCCCTGAATATCTTCAGTCCTTGGTTGCTTGAATCCTTGAATATGGAACCCACAGAAGGCTGACTAAAATGATCTAGCCCACTGCCTGAAACTCAGGGTCTGCTCAAAAGAGAACAGCTATTATTACTATTTTTAAAATTCAGATTGTATGTGTGCATGTCCTTCTTAAGTAATGTACTTTTTAAAATCAACAGTATATTATGCTTCTGTTTCAGTGCTCTATTATTTTAAATTATTAAATTTAAATTTATCTTTATTTATTATGTAAAGTGTTCTATAATGGACTTTTCTCAGGTTTGAAATTCTTGTTCTGGAAGCTGTGCATCACCATAATGAGGCTTGTAATTCTTGATAACTATGACTTGGCTAGTGAATGGGCAGCCAAATACATCTGTAATCGCATCATTCAGTTCAAACCTGGACAGGACAGATATTTTACACTGGGTTTACCAACAGGTAATAAACTTCTTTTTCCATTTTAGATTCTAACATCATCTAAATTTAATTTTGATTGAATTGTCGGTTTTCTCTATGCAACTTACTTTTCCCATTCATTTATTGCCATATCACTAATTGAACATCATAGTATAAAAAGCCATTAAAATGCATATATATAAAATCTGTCTAAAATTTGTTACTAGTTCTTGTGTCAAAATTCAGTCTTACCTGTCACTCCAAAATGCAATAGTAAATATTGTAACTTAAGTGATATTCATATTTTTTATACATTTTCTAGTAGTCCTTTGTTTTGGGGAGCCTTGCTTTTACCGTTCATACCAGTTTTTAGGTGATTGGCTTTCTTATTAATCATTAAGTGATACCTAAGGTATGTACTGTTGCCTCTTAACTTCACCTGCTTTATAAATTCTTACTGATATAGAAATTGTAAATTATAAATTATGTAATGTTTATTAGCTTTTATTCTTTAGTTCTATTATAGATGTGTTACAAGTGAAAAGTATGTCATCATCACAGTTTAAGGAGAAGCATTAATTACATATTTTAGTGAATTCAGTTTTCCATTAAAGATTCTCTTAAAAAATGACCAGGTGGTGTCATTTGATCTATGGCACTTTATTTGATATTATTGACCCATGATTTCCACAAAGAATATTAGACCTAGAACTAAAATTGCTCCTTATTGACTGCAAGGCATTTGTTCTATACCCCTGAGCCTTGGTTTTTTTACCTTTAAGAAGGATAAAGATAATAACTTAAGATGCTAAGATAGTGTATGTGTATACTGTATATACTCTATAAATTTATAGTTCCTATAAGTGTATTTTATTTAAAGACTATTTTCTCCTACTTCTCCCTTCATACATGCTGATTACATAAAAACTACAATTGTAATTTTTTTTCACTTGAGTAATATCCATGAATGGTACTCTTCAAGTTGATTTTTTTGTTTTGCTTTTTCTCTTTTGGTCCAGGGCAGTAGATCTTGGTGAGAATGGCAAAAGGGGATTTTTTTTTTCCACTGGACACACCAGTACTACACCCTCAGCACCCTCAGTTCTGATATGTGAGCCCTTGTGGTTGAACGTGATTTCTGTATTGTTTGCACACTGTTACCCTTCATTAAACTCAGCCTACTTCTATTAATGACATTGTGCTAATTAAGATGCAGAAAAAACTAATTTGAGTTGAGGACAGAAAGACTTAGAGAGTCTTAAATGTCAGCAGTGCTCAACATGTTTTTGTGTATTTAGATCTACAACTTTTGCTTTATTTTGGGTAGTATAACTGCTAGTAATATTAACCTGCCAGGCGAGTATCTCTGGAAAGCTTTGTTGACATTTGGCATTACTCTCCTTCATTGACCACTGACAAGGTTAATTATGTCCTCTTCCCCTCTTCCCCCACTGCTTTGAGACTTGAACATGCAAATTGCTAGTATCAGGATGTAATGTAATTATCTCCCTACCAAGCATAATTTCTGGACAATATCTGTTCAACTTTGTATTTGCTCACATGATCTTAATGAGTGTGAACATTTTAAGGCCTCCATGCTGTGGGCCTGATCTGCTTCCCAAAACTTATTCCCACCATTCCCCTACACAGAACTGGGCTAGGCAGTTTTGACTGCTTCCATTTCAAGAATAGGCCTGAACTTGCTGACTGCTGTGCTTTGCTTTCACTCATGTTCCTAGCATGTTATTTAATGGAATCTATAGAGCTCTGGCACTAGACCTATCTCAGTTTGAATCCCTGGTTTCACAGCCATGTGATATTTGGCAAATTTCTTAATCTTTTGACCCAGCTATTCTATCTCAAAATTGGAAAGATAATGCTAATTTCTCAAGTTTGTGAGCTTTACATGAGGCAATATATAAAAACACCAGCACAGCATCTAGCCACATGGTAGACAGATGTCATCATTGAACCTCCTGCTCCATCTTTTCTCTGCTCTGAGTTACAGTTCCCTCTTTATGGAAATTGTATCCCTTCATCAAGACTGAATTGAAATGCCATTTTCTTTCATTGCTCTTCTAACTAGCAAGACTATAGACTTTTTTCTTTGATGTACTGTAATACTCAAACTTACTTTAAATTATTTAGAATGTTTTTCCTTGTGTCATGGTTATTTTGTACTTGCTTATCCCTATATTGTGAGTTCTTACAGGAAAGAAGTCTTAATCTTTGTTTCATATAAATCATAGTAGGTACTTACTAAATTGTGTTAGTAAATGACCATTACTTACAAAGCAAATATTAAAATGAAGTTTCTTTAACCAGTTTTTTTCTTCAATCTTTTTTTAGCCACATTGATTACAAAATAGAAAATGAATGTTTTTGTCACCTCTGTTGTGATAGCTCACCTTTTTACTCATATATCCTTCAATTGAGAGACTCCTATAACTCATCTCTTGACACTAAAAGAGATTCATTTATATTTCTAGAAAGGAAGAGGGAAAGCATATTTATCCATCTTTTAGACAAGTTTCATGTTAGTGGGCTATAGCTCATTGAGAAAGAATGGTAAAATTTGACTACATAATTTTTAAATTAATAATTGCAATTTAAAACAACATATGTACTTAGCTTTTAGAAAATCTTTAATTCTTCTGTGAACCAATGTGGTATGTATTTATAGCCTTTTCTATTATTCTGTCGTCTCAAATGAGAGGCAATCTTTTTACTATTTTTGAATTTCCTTTGTATTTGTCAAAGACTTTAGTTTAATCAGATTTCTGTATGATATTGAATTGGAATTTTTTTGTGCAGCCTTTTGTTTTGCACTGTTTTGTTTTGTGATGGTGGGTTAACTAGGAATCAGTACTTCAAGTAGGATTGGGAGGGCCAGATAACTTGTTATAAGAATGCAGTCAATCTAGCCTTTCAGTTTGAAGTTAAAATGAAAAAAATAAAAGGTAACAAATTTAGAAAACAAAGATGAAGGCCATCCTCAAGTGGCTAAATTTATTTTGGCATATCATGAAGCATCATCTTTTTACATATCAACTATAACTTTATAAAACATGTAAAAAGAATTACATTATAAAACAATAGAATCAAGAGCTCAGATGAAATATCACAAGCCAAGATCCTCCTTCCTTTAAGTTCTCTCTATCTTAAACAAAATCACTTTTTTCTCACCTTACACATTTTAGCTGATACATGCTGAAGGTATCAAAAGATGAGAAACAGGGGCTCCGGTTAAAGAGCTGTAAGGCTAAAGTCCCTCACTCAATCTTTGCTACTTTCAGATTCTATTTTGAAAGTAGTGGCAATATTTAAATTTAGCTCTGGTTTCCCTTTTGATTTCAGTAAGTGGTCAACACTTGACCTATTTATATATCATTTGTGCAAGAACTCAAGATTTTTTTCAAAAAGGTAGATTTTTAAAAATTCAAACATATACTCTAAAAGTTTTTAATCTTAGAATTTGTAATACTAATTCCCAATACCCAACAACTCAAGGATAATTTTCCAAGCTTTACTTTTTATTTACGGATTTCCAGCTTTATTCAGCAAATTTTAGTTTACCAAAATTTCAAAGTACTTGTTAATTGATTATGTATTTAAGTGAATAATTGCCTAATTAGAAATACAGAATATTAAGTAAGAAAAGGATAGGTAAAGTTAATAAAAAGTTTTTTTAATGGATTATTAAGTCATGTTAGAAAATGGAATTTTTATGTCTTTTAGGGAGTACACCTTTAGGATGCTATAAAAAACTAATAGAGTTTCATAAGAATGGACACCTTTCTTTTAAATATGTGAAGACCTTTAATATGGATGAATATGTAGGTAAGCTGTACTTAAATACATTGAATATATTATTTGGATATGTTATATTTTGAATAAAATGAATGTAGTTTTAAACTATTAGTATATTTGAATTTATGTTTTGAATATAATATTAATGTATGAATATATTTCTAGAATGTAATATAATGCCTTGAGATGAGGTTGGTAGTTTATATAAAAACCTGTATTTTTGTGATAGCAGCACAGAATAGTAGAAGGAATGAAGGACTAGAAATCAGAAGATCTGCATTCATCCTGGGCTCTGCCACTCAACAGTGATGTAACTTTAAGCCAGTCTACTCACATTTCTCATTCTCTTTCTTCTCAAGGCAGCGTTAAAACCAGTGTTGTCGGGATCAACTAAGAAATGTATATGTAAAAGTAATTGGTTAAGTATTTTTTCAAATAAAAAGCTATACTGGTAGCCCTGAAGCGTTTATAATTTATTGTCAACTTGCCTACCTGAAATCTATGATGCATAGAAACTGTCAAAATTTAAATATAGAAATACATATTTAATGGTAGCATAAATGGTAGCCAAAGAACTGCTGTGATCCCACATAATCTGCACACATATAGGATGAATAGAGGAGGAACATGGCTGTCATTTCACTTGAATGTCTAATTTATTTTGGGCTTAACACATAAGTCAGTTTCATTGGTTAAAATTTTGTGTGTTTGAGAAGTGGAGTATAGTGATTAAATGCACATGAACTATATGTGTTTGAATCCTAACTCCTTTGTAAACTATGGGACTTTTGGGAAAGATCTCTGTATTTCAATTGTTCACCTATAAAATGAGATAACAGTATTTCATAAGATGTTTTATGAATTATTGCATACATTTAAGGTGATTAATACTGGGTATATAATCATATATTCCACACAAAAAGGCTTTTAAATTGAATATGGCATAGAGAAGTTAGAGATAGTAAATAGTGTTTATAACTTAAACAGAAAAAAAAAACTTTAGATTTATTTCTAGGAATTCTTATATTTTTAATAACTTCATCTTTAGGTCTTCCGAGAAATCATCCTGAAAGCTACCATTCTTATATGTGGAATAATTTTTTTAAGCATATTGATATAGATCCTAATAATGCACATATCCTTGATGGGAATGCTGCAGATTTACAAGCAGAATGTGATGCCTTTGAAAAGAAAATAAAGGAAGCTGGAGGAATAGATCTTTTTGTTGGCGGTATGTAAAACCCTTTTGTCATTAATTGTGAGTGATTGAATTAGGGATTTTTAAACTTAAACAAGAAATCTTCCCATTGTGTAATGTAAAGAGCACTTGTGGCTGTCTGTAATACCCATTTATTCTGCTATTGATTCCTATTTTACTTCATCTTCTTTAAAAAAAAATCTTAAAAATTGCCATCTTAATCTTCAGATTGACAGCTGGAATTGTATACATTATGCTTTGAGAGGTAGATACCAATCCCCATTAAACTTTTACAATTACCACTTTAAACAGTTTACCACATTTCAAAATGAGTAATCTGTTTCTTTACCTAAAGGATAGCTTCTTTTTAGTATTTTTTTAAAACTCCAGCCAGCCTATTTATCAAATTACAGAGTTTAATCTGCATGAGGAACAGGTGGATTTTATCAGATCCCTTTAATTGTTTCGTCTTACTGAGTAATCAGTTAAGAATGATGTAAAACTGTTTAGTTATCAGCCTTAAGTTAATAGGAGTTAAGCTGTATAACTGTCATAATAAATTCCAAAATGAATGTTTAATTTATGGAATTCCACTTGTAATTTATATATGTGTGTGAGTATACATAATCTACAGTTAAAAATAGGAAGTTTTTTCTTTTGCAATGGCAACATGGTTTTCTATTATCAGTACAAACTATCACAGACAGCTAGCTTATGCTGTCAGAATAGTGTAACATCAACTAAACTAAAATCAAAATTGTTTTTTGCCAGATTCTTTAATATTCAGCTAAAAATACTAATATTGTAAATTATCTGTATATAACCTATAATAAATTTAATAGAACACTGGTCAAAATTACATGAATTCCATCTTCAATAGAGCTGTACCAAAGTTAATTTATTCTTGAAGTGGCCAAGTATGGTTGAGATAGTTGATTATCTTTGGGGAAAGTTGGGTTTTAAAGTCAGAAGTAAGATTGTATCCTGTTTTAGCCACTTAGTATCTGTATGACCTTGGAAAGTTTATTGAAGTTCAGTATAAGTACATCATTTGTATAAGAGGATTAATATTATGCTTTCCAAAATTTGTGAGAATTAATCATGTTGTAACATGTATAAAATGCCTTACACAGTGCTTGGAATGTAGTTGGTAATCCGTAAGTGCTACTTCAGTCTTCTCTTTCTCTCTCAACTATAAATGCTGAAATAATTGTCCCTTAAAATTATTGAATTCCTTGGGATTTTTAACGAATTACCTCTAAGGACATCCAGTGAGATTGAAATCTTCTCTTTGAGATAGTTTTTACTTCTACCTAGCAGAGCCAATATCATTTACTTTCTTGATAGAATGATTATTTTGTTGGAGCAAGACACCAAGTTTGACTAATTCTTTTCAAATTAGAAGGTTACCTGTTTTAAATAAACTTCACTAATATTGCTTCAGTAATCCTAGAGAACATTTGTACACTCCTGCTCTATACATATGGCTGAATTTTGAGATAATTACCATTTGTACCTTCTAATATGCAGGCTAAGACAATAGATGTTTAGATGTTTAAGAGTGTCTGCGGACTGCACAGACCATCTATCTTTAGATTTTCTAACTCCACACAAAAATCTAGTAGAATTTCTGGAATACAACCCACTTGAACTGCTTATATCAAAAAATGTTTCCACACATTTACTGTAAGGCAAAAAAGAATTTGCAATAATCCCTTTACATAATAATGCACAGTTATTAAAATGAATTCAGGGTTTTTATGTTCTGATATGGAAAGACTATATTCAAAAAAAAAAAAAAAAAGGCTCTTAGTTGTTGGAGGCTCATTATTAAAAGTGGCTGCTTGAAAAATATCTTCATTTGTGAACTTTCTCCCCCCCCATTAAATTATTGACCTTATATAAGTATGCATGTGACAAATCCCTTGTAGACTCAAAGACAGGAAACATATTTTATTATGGGGAACAAGACTGATAAGAACACTTGATTTTGTTCCTTTGCCTGCCTTCCAGAAAGTGTTCAGTGCATAAAATATTTATGGCTATAACTCTTATCTAAGATGCCTGGCAAAACTTTCCTCTTTTCTTATAACTCTAAGTCATTTTGTACTTCTTTTTAGTTAATTGGTTTTTTTTGGAGGGGGTGGGTTATGTGTAAACCACCTCAGTTTTCCTTTTGAAATAGATGTTGCATAAATTATAATTATTTATGTTTGTCACTGACACCACTAAAAAGAATTTGACTTGGTTTTTTAACCAGTTTGTCTTAAGCTTCCTGTAGTTGTCTCCCCACTCCCCCCACTTCCCAAATACATTTAAAAGAGTTTCTATGCCTCTTTGCTTAACATCTTCACTGTAGTCATGTGAGATCCAATGCCTGACAGTTTATATATACCATCTAAAGGACATAATTGTGCATAGAGAAAGAAGGATTATTGTATTTTCTTTGAACTTTTCCTTATTTGGGATGCCCTAATATTGGATGTGTATTCATGAAAGAATCTTATTTGTTGATCTAGGTTTTTATCATCATTGGATTTTTAGATGAGGTTTGGCATCTGGGTCTTACCACTACCCTTCTTTTGTTCCAGGGTTTGGTTAATAAAAACTCTAAGAACTGTGCCAAATGGGATCAAAATATCAGCTTTATTAAAGGTAAAGTTGAAATAGAGATTGCAGTTTGGGCTTGAAGCCAGAATGGGGTTTTTCACTCCTCCCCTTTGAATTGGAAACAGTAGAATGAGAAGAGCTCAAAAATGTTAATCTGCCATTGCACATTCCAGGGAATTAGAGCAGAGTTCCCTTTCCTTGGTAGAGGGAAAGAAAAAGGAGGAAATATATACTCAAATGTTCTCATTCTTCCTCTAATGGCAAACGTGTTGAGAAAAAGGGTCAAGGTGTATCATGTATTTCCTGACTTAACCCTGGCAATAAGATATACAAACATGGATTTTTAAAAATGAAATCTAGGACTGGTGCAGTGGCTCATGCCTGTAATCCCAGTTGTTTGGGAGGCTGAGGCAGGTCAGTCATTTGAGGTCAGCAGTTTCAAACCAGCCTGACTAACACGGAAAAACCCCATCTCTACTAAAAAGAAAAGAATTAGCCAGGCATGGTGGCGCATGCCTGTAATCCCAGCTACTCTGGAGGCTGAGGCAGGAGAATCGCTTGAACCCCAGAGGCGCAGGTTGCAGTGAGCCAAGATCATGCCATTGCACTCTAGCCTGGGCAACAAGAGCAAAACTCCATCTCAAAAATAATGATAATAAAACCTAGCTTTACAATAAAATCTAAATATATTAACTTTTGAAATATCTTAAAGTAATAGTGTTTTGGGTTTTTCTTTTGGTGGTGGTGTTGAGATGGAGTCTCACTCTGTTACCCATGCTGGAGTACAGTGGCTTGATCTTGGCTCACTGCAACCTGTGCCTCCCAGGTTCAAGCAATCCTGTCTCAGCCTCCCGAGTAGCTGGGAATACAGGCACCTGCCACCTTGCCCAGCATGGAGACAGGGTTTTGCCATGTTGGCCAGACTGGTCTCAAACTCCTGACCTCTGGTGATCCACCTGCCTTGGCCTCCCAAAGTGCTAGGATTACAGGCATGAGTCCCTAGGCCTGGCCTGGGTAACAGCATTTTTTAAAAGGAAAAATAAAAGAAGACAGTGGGGAAAACTAACATTTTGATTTGGTTGCATGCTTGGATTCTTTGATTTCCTAGAAAAAGGAAATAACTAATGGGACCAAAAGTAAATTAACTGGAATGATTCTAGGGTAACTCACAAACTGAAGGTAAAGTTAAAACAACCAAGTCTTTGGAAAAACAAGAACCAGAGAACCTCAGATCTCAGAAGTAGAAACTCATCATCAGTCTTCTCTCTGCATTACTGTCATCCAGTGTTTCAATTCTCCATGCCTTCTTCCTTACTGTATCCCTGGTCAAGATTCAGATCCAGACAGAGATTCTGATTGGCTCAGTCTCAGACAAGTGCTTATCTCTAGACCAGTCACTCTACTTAAGAGGGATATGAGAAATTATAATTGTTCCAGCCCCTGTGGTGAGGTGAGAAAGGCAGAAGAGAACAAGGTGGGAGATGGAAGAAACTACACTGAGCTGACCAAAGAATAGCAACCATACATTCATTTATTCAGCCATTATTTAATAAGTGCTTCCTACCTGTCACTTGTTGTTCTAAATGGTAAGAATATAGTAATGAAGATAAAGCCCTTACTTTCATGAAGAGTACGTGTACATTCTATGCTTAGAGCTATAGGAACACAGGAATGACGCTTACTACAGACAATGAGTTTTAGAAATGTTTCAGAGATGCTAATATCTTAATTTAGACTTAAAGTCTGAATATGAATTAGCCACATCTTAAAAATTTTATATCAGGAACCTCAATTTTTGACAGTTATTCACAGCCAACAAGCAAATATCTTGACCCTCCTCCATTATTAATCTTTGCCTATAATTTCAATTTAGCTTAGCTGTATACTTCTGTAAGGCTCACATCACCAGTGAGGTCACCTGTAGTAGATCTTAGTAGACTTCATATTTTTTCCTAAAGTTTTTATTTTCCTGATCCCATCCTTCCCTCTTTACACATAAATAGAGAAATAATAAATGTTGGGGATATATATATATCTAAGAGGAGTAACAGAACACTTTTACAAATCTAGAGAAGTTAATGTTATATATATTTATAAAAGCAGATACTTAATAGTAGAAATAGTCAGTGCATATTAACTACATGTAGGTCTGGCCTTATGTCTTCATATTAAAAATTCCTAAATTGTTGTACTTTAGCATTCTGTATCTGCTTCAATATTCATTTCTTCCTCCATTATTCAAAACTGGGTTACTCTTTGTCATATTTTATCTTGTTGTGGCCTGGGAAAATTTTGCTACAATTGTGCACTGTCAGTAAAATACACATATCATTAAATACACAGAATATAAATGTAAGAGATACATTTTCTTCAAAGAATTGGCAGAGTTATTTTTTGGCTGAGGTTGCTAGAAATGTGACTAGCTACTAGGGTACTTGTAAGTAAAACTTGATTTATTTATGTAATGGTAAGAGCCTTAATTTTGTGAAAAGAATGACCTTCCATTTCTTTCAAATAAGGAATATCATATACCTGTCTATATTTTAGAGGTAATCCTAGAATATTAGAGCTGGCACTAGATCTCTTTAAAGCAGTGTTTTTAAAACTGGTTGTCACCCATTATTAAATCATGAAAGCAATATGGCCAGTCACAGGCAACATTTTCTTTTTGTTTTGTTAATGAAATGCAATGTAATAGAAAACAGCTTGTATGCTTCCTAGTAATGGTAAGTATGATTTCATGCAGTTTTTGCTTTAATTTGTATGTTTCTGTTGTATGTGTGTATATATATATATACTAGATGGCAATATCAAATGTTGTTTCTTACAAGAGTTACAGTCAGAAAAGTTTGAAAAAAACTATTGCCTTAGGCATTATCTTGTCCAGTCCACACCTTTTTGTAAGTGAGGAAACTATACTATAGAAAGGTCTGCTAGTTAATTGCTGTATCTGGACTACAACCAAGTAAATTCAAATGTAACTATGAAGATGTCCAAGTTAGGAATCAGAAGACAGATTCGAGTCCTGTCTCAGTATTTACCCAGTTGTGACCTTGAACAAGTCACTTATTTTTCTTGAGCATCAGAGTTTCCTTTTGTGTTTAAAAAAAGGTGGAGGAAAAGAGGGAAATGGATATGCCTAATCTGACCATCTCATAAGATAATATTAAGTAATATTTAATAATCTGTTGTGATGATGCATGTGAAGGGATTTTATAAATTATAAAATGTTATACTACTATAAGGTGATACTTAATTTTATTATTAGAATCATGCCAGCTTATTGCTATATACTACTATAAGGTGATACTTAATTTTATTATTAGAATCATGCCAGCTTATTGCTAAGCATGTAGAAAACATGGAAACGTGTTGAATCAATACAGAAATATTTTAATGCAGTAAAGGAATTCAAGTATAAAATAAAACAAGGTGAGTGATTTTTGGGGGGTTCCTTAATGCACATTGAACTTTGTGAAACCTGTGTATTTCATGTGTATATGTATATGTATGTATATTTCTTTTCAAAGGAATTGGTCCAGATGGTCATATTGCCTTCAATGAGCCGGGATCCAGTTTAGTGTCAAGGACAAGATTAAAGACACTAGCAATGGATACCATCTTGGCAAATGCCAAATATTTTGATGGAGATTTATCAAAAGTGCCAACTATGGCTCTCACTGTTGGTGTGGGGACAGTGATGGATGCTAGAGAAGTAAGCATTAAATGTTCTTTGCTGTTTTTCCTTTGATGTCAATATATTAATATTTTGGAAGGATTACGATGCTGAATAAGTGATACTTTGATTGCATTCTATTTGCAGTATAAGTTCTTTTCTAGTGTTCAGTAACTAACTTTTGTCAGTCTCATTGACAGGTTTAGGGATCAATTAAGTCTTTTGGAGCTGTAAACTAAGAATTTCGCACCACCACTTTTGAGGTCCTACTTCACTTGCCTATTCCTGTTTGGGTTTGAGGTCTGAAAATCTTACTGATCATATGGTTTGTATTTTATTGAAAGTGCCTCATGAAAGGACTATTAGGACAAAGATGCAATGCTAGTTCCACTACACTTTTTTTGGAGCTCTCACAATAATTTAAATGCTTCTCTACTGTATACAGGATGATAGAGTCCTATTGGTTTCCAGCAGAAAAGCAACTCAGCTAAGGCTGGATCTGTTCTATGTTTGGTGTATTTAAGCACAAAAGAGCTCTAAACAGCAGATCCTGCATAATTTTTAAGTTTTTATAAATTGGGCTGTCAATTTCTTCCTTGAGAATACAGAACAAATTGTAGTCACTTCATGGTTATATGTAGTTAAATTATATAGAAACCAAATACTGTGTTCCTTTCTGGTAGCCAGATTGGACAGGTTCATAGGAAAAAAGTATAGACAAAGTATGATGAATAAGAAACTGATCTTGATATTTATATTTAGACTTGAATATACAAATAGAACTGTCAATCAAAGTATGTGCGAAACTCACCTAAAAATCATAGATATGTGGGAAAAGACCTTTCAAAGACTGAAATTTCATAGTCAATATGAAAAAAGAATTTCAGAGCAATCCTATTTCTAAAATATGAAACTGAGTTATGTAATAAATTTTTACATTTAACAAGATGTAAATTTTAATGCAATTTAATTACTCAAATATTGAATTTTTTTCTTTGGGTCAGTTTTTGCCCAGACAGGAGTGCAGCAGTGTGATCACAGCTCACTGCACCCTCAATCTTCTGGGCTCAAGAGATCTTCCCACCCCAGCCTCCTAAGTAGCTGGGACTTCAGGTGCACACCACCATGCCTGGCTGATTTTTTTTTTTTTTTTTTTTCCTTTTACCTTCCTTGGGGTGGTGTTGAAAGGCTTAGGCACCAGAGTAGCCAGGACTATGGGTGTGAGCCATCACACCTGGCAAAGGTCTAAATTTTTTTGGAAGAGACAAAGTCTCACTCACTATGTTACCCAGGCTAATTTCCTCATTTATTAAAAATCACATTTGATTTAAAAATGCTAACCAAGAAGGCATGTGGAGGATTTAATATGAGGTTATAGATTTTTATAAAGCATTTATATCAGTTTATGGAATGATTAAATGTTGATTATTCTTTAAAATTAGCTTACTTCATAACCTTTTAAAATAGTGTTATTGTTTTACACTTCGTAGCATAAAGCTGTATCAATGCAAAGTCTGCCTGAGCGCTGGTTCTCAAACATTAGTGTACATAAGAATCACCTGGTATTCATACCTAGCTTGATTCTTTAAATTTAGGGATTCTGCAGTTTGAACAAGCATACCAAATTATTCGATATAGTTTGTCCTTTTCCATGATATGAGAAATAATCTCCTTGAGAATAGAACAGGTATAATAGAACTAACCACATATAAGAGCAACTCTATTTAGAGAGCATGTTGTTTCTATGCCTTAGCCATAGATAAACACCAATAATGAATCTTCATCCTCCCCTAAGCTTCCAGCAGCCTCCTTTCCTTCCACTCCCATCATAACGTTAATGCTAGGTATGTACTTAACCTTTTCTTGCCAATAAAATTTGGTGGTCTTTTGTTTTATTCTCAGTATATACACTTGATCTTAAGATTTCTTGCCACCTGTCCCATTACCTTTTTATAGAGTGTGCTTAGTGAAAAGACTCTTGGCACATATTGTCTAATTCTTAGAGCTTTTACAAGAGGCAATGTAATGTAGTAGTTAATTGCTAATAATATGGACTATAGAATAAAACTATTTGTTTGATTCTTACCAAAACCTTGGGCAAGTTATAGAATATGCCTTAGTTTCCTATCTTTAAAATATAAGTAAGAATAGTATTTCTCTCATGGTGGTGTTTTGAGGAGTTAGATGATGTAATTCAAGGAGAGTGCGAAGTATTTCCTCCCATTTTAGGCCTAGTTATAAAATATGTTAATACAAAATTTGTTTTAAATATTTTAGAACTACAGCCATTTTAACATTCTTTTTAAAAACAATAGTAATGAGGAAAAAAATCATGTTTAAAGATTACATTACAAAAACGTGTGTGTACATGAGGTGCTAAGTGGGATCAATTTACAGCTGAAAGAAGATAAAGAAGATTCTGGCACGTATACATTCACATTTGCATGTCATTATGTTATTTCATTGGCATTTAGAGATTGGGGACCAAGAGCTTGGATTTTCAGTAGTTTATAAGGGTAATCATCAGTCATGTGCTTATAAGACAGTTCCTATGTTTAAGTAGATCCCTAATCCTTCTTTAAATCCAGTTTTTATTCTGAGTCAGCTTTGGATACCACATGTTCAGTAAAATGCTCTTCAGACTTTTCTTGATAACTCTTCAAATATCTGTAGTTTTAGAGTCTTTGGTTTTCTGATGTAATTGCTTATGTCAACTATAGCAATTTGGTATATCATTCTAGATTGTATAAATTATTTGAAGACGTGTAATTCTGCTTTTGCAAGACAGTCCTTTTCTTTTTCTTCATTCTCCTAGGTTTATTTTAAACATCTTCATTTACTATGTTAGTAATTACAAGTATTATAGTGTTTGCACTAATACCCCATAACAAGACATTGTTTTGCTTCGTTAAACTAGAAGCAACATTTTGTGCTGTTTAGTTACCTTAAAAAGTAGAAATAAATACCTTGAACTGTGATGTGGAGCTATGTATTTTTCTTTTTCTCTTAGAAAAATATTGCTGCTGGAGTCCATGTTTAAAAAAAATAGAGCTTCTTACTCATTTGGAACAAGTTTTAACAATTGATGTTCATAATTTTTCAGGTAATGATCCTCATAACAGGGGCACACAAAGCATTTGCCCTGTACAAAGCAATCGAAGAAGGAGTCAATCACATGTGGACTGTTTCCGCTTTCCAGCAGCATCCTCGAACTATTTTTGTATGTGATGAAGATGCTACTTTAGAATTAAGAGTTAAAACGGTGAAATACTTTAAAGGTGAGCACTGAATTTCAAAAGCTGACTGAGATATTCTGTTGTGGATGACAATTAAAACTTAATTGTGGAATTAAATCTCATAAAACTGTGGAGTTGAATCTCACACTGTGACCTATTGAAAAGTGGCAACACACAGCTGGTTCTTTCAAGGAATGGAAAATTCTCACCTCAGATAATAATATCTTCAGAGTAGTACCTTTTTTTTTCATGAAGAGAATCTCTTCAGTCTCTATTCAGTAAACAATTTTTTTTGAAATCCAAAGTTTAGTAAAATAATTTACTTTCACATTGAATACAGATTAAATAGCCCAAAAGAAAATTTATCTTTATTCATTTTGGATTCCTTTTCATGTTTATCAGTTCCACCTCAATCCCTCTCCCACAGTCCCCTCTAAATTTAGAACCTAATAATGGATAATAGAGATCCCTTGCTGTCTCATTTAATCTTTACAATTTTAAGCCGATTTATTCCATATATTAAAGTTATAATGGCTGAATGTTAAAGCTCTATGGAATAAACTCTGCAAGTAAGCAGGAGTTTCATTGCCCAGACTTCATGTAGATTTTTCCTTTTTGCTTTTTCCAGTAGTCTAGTTCAGTAAATCTGAAACCTTGCTGTACCAGGCTATGTATTAAAAAATACATATGCTTGATGTAATGGTTTAAGAGATTTTCAAGGAACATTTTGCCTATACCCAATGTAGAACCCATTCCCTGATTTAAGAGTCAGCTCCACATACTACACATATATAAGCAAGCTGTCCAAACAGGTAATTTTTGTAAAGTACCTGTATTTACACAGCTGATATTGAAAGTTATATAGTTGTTCATATAGATAGGTCAGTGATTCACTAAGTATGTAGTATGTATGCTACATTTGCTACATGATTGTACCTTTTTCATCTTTATTACTTTAGTAACTAGGTATTTAATGCATATTTGAAAAAATATATGAATAAATCAAAGCTATATTTTTTGGTATTATTCCTTAATACAAGGTCCAAAAAAGCTACCAATGTGGCTCTAAGACACATTGATATTGATCTTGCTGATCTTGGACTGTGTCTTAAAATTGGTTTCAGATCATAGCTTACCTGGTAGCATTTTTTTCTCAGTGGTGCATAAAATAATGGTGTCTTACAGTCTACAGCATCTCATTCAGACATATAGTATATTATCTTAAATTTTTAAGTCAATGCAAAGAAAACCAGTAACTTTTATTTCATGTAAATGTGTCAATATGGCAAATATCTTAAAGGTGTTATACAAATAACTGACATTTGGCAAGCACTGAAAATAGTCTATTTTTAAAACAAAATGCTGATCATGCTTTGTATATAGTTTTATATTTGTGCTTATGTTTCACACATATTTTCCTGTTTTTTTAAATATCTCAAAGCATTTTAATGGACAGTCAAGTACACGTCATAATTTATTTAAACATTTCCTTATTGTTTAAAGATTATTTCCATCTATATTTTTATCATTTAAATTACTAGTTTACAAAGCCACAAATATATCAGATTAAACTGAAAAATTGTTAGCTTCTTTCTGATTTGATACATAAAAACAAAGTGAAGACTTGTGAATAAAACGAGCTTTTGTTGGAGTTTTAACTATTTTTCCATGTAATCCTTCAGATTTTATCCCAGAATCCTCACTATCCACAAATTTTAATTCCAGTTTTAAGAAAATTCATTGAAGATGCCATTTTCTAGTCATTGTAAGTCCCAGATAAATCCCTGTACTATCTGATTTCGTCACAATTTGGTTATCAGACTTTTACATTTTGGTGAATATTTAATAAAATACTTAATAACAGCCCATATGTCTATGACCATGCACTATTCTAAATGCATTTTACTTATTGATTTACTTAATTCTTACAAAAATGTTATGAAATGGATACTCCCAGTTTTAAATGAATTAATATGCTTAACAGACAGAGACGTTGAGCAACTCACCCATACAGCTCATATTTGGGCAGAGCCGGGTAACAGAAATCAAAATCAGGCTGATCTCTGGAGTATAGGCTTTAGTCTATTCTGTTATACTACCTTCCACAATAAAGTCTAGGTAAGATACCATCTACATCAAAACCATATTTCCATCTGCTTTTTTTTCCCAAATCATATTGCTTCCAAAAAAGGTATATAGACATATGTTAGAAAATTTAAATTAGAAGGGTGGTAGTTGTTTATATGTATTTAGTTCTTTCAGTTCATCTATCTAAATTGTAAGCCTTTCTGAAAAATTTTGAAATCGACCATTCATGAGAGGATAGCTGCATTGCCTAAAGAGGAAATAGTATTTTCCACTTGAGCTGTATTTCTCAAGAGGCTTCAGGATACCAGCCTCTGTTAGGATACCTCCTTCAATATAAAGACAGAATTTAGATATTCTGGGCTACATATGGGCCTCATTTTATAGTATTTTAGTAAAGAGTAGAGCAATTAAATATTCGTAAATGTACACATTTCAAATGAAGTTTGTGTATTTTTCATCCCTCCATTTAGTTACTAGTATATCAAAATACTGGAGGATGTAAATTCCTATAATTGTCATCCATGACTCTTCAAATTCCATTCACATCACTACCCTTTTTTCTGTCATCACTAAAAAGTGCCACCCAGAATCTTAAAGGGTTCCATTTAGTGCCTAGATAAGATCAAAGTTAACTAGATCCAAAACAACAAAAATTGCCAGTAAATGCAAGTGTATTTCACTATGTGCCTTTTGAAAGATACAAATCACAAGAAAACAAATTTAGTACCTGGGGATTTATTTTATTCATTCTTGCTTTTCACTTTTGCTTTTTAAATAGAACAGCTTTATGTCTTTGATTTTAGTATGTTTTCATGACATTGTCATCATGAATTTGTTTCTCTTTGTATGTAGGCTCCACCCTAGTAGTTTGACAAAGGTAGAATGAGTTCATTTTGAGTCAAAACCATAAAAGTTACTTTGATTAAATATTGGTTAGAATCTGTGACATTTAAACTTTCTTTTGGTAAGGTGTCAGGAAGTCTGGTGCATTTTTATCAGAATAATTATTTCTGATTGACTTAACTAGCAATTATTTATATAAAATTTATATGTAGAAAGTTGTCGGTTTTTACCTGAGGTCACAGTAAATATCTGACTTAATATCTAAAAAGCCATTAAGAGAGTTTTCAAAATACTTACTTCTAGTTTGGAAGCAGTCCTGTTTGATGTATAAAAGATACATCCAATATATAGAAAAACAAACTTTATAACAGAGTTGAATTTTTATGTTTTTCCTTATATGTTAAGTTTCATGTATTTTAAAGTTCTGTGTATTCTTTCCATAATCATAGTTGTTAGCAAATGACAGATGAATACTATTTAAGTAGAAAAGTAATCCTCCACAAAGTCATACTCTGGAAAATGCTACCTCCTCTAAATCATACAGCTGATACTACCCTTATCTTTGTTTTTCCCTCTCCTACTGGTTGTTAAGTTTCAGGTGCTAATATGACCTTCAAGTAGGCTGTTGAGAAGTAAGCATTCTCTTTCAGTTGCAGCACTAGTGAATGGAATGCTTCCCCCTTCCTTCCTTTGAAGACTCCTGTTCTTATGGTTAGAATTTCTACTACTACACAAACACTTGCCAGTGTTTGTTGCTTGTCCCTTAAAAGTGGGTCTTTCTCAAAGCTGGGATTTTAGAGTGCCTTCTGCAGCCTTTCTGACAAGGAACATCTATGTACTAACAAGCACCCTATCCCTCCAATCCATTAATCCCATTTCCTGCAAAAACCGAGTTGTAAATACCTTTCCCCAGCCTCCCATGTTCTTAATAACCTGAAAAATTTAATTCATTTATTTACCCTCCAAAATATAAAATCTCTAGTTTATTAATTGGGTTAAAGACAGTCTTTTTAGAACTTTTTGCCCTCCCCAAAGAAATATAGTACTGACGCATGAAGACAGAAGCAACTGGAAGATCAGTTATTTCCCAAGAAGCTTTCATAGGCAAGCATATGTACCAATTATAAAATGAAAGTTACAATCTACCTGATCTAAAATCTAAATTTCTATTCTGAAGTAAATGATTTAGTACAGGTTGTTTTCTGTAATGTTTTAGTAACCTTCCCTCAATGTAGAATTTGTAATTAACCTTTGTCGTAAATACACATGCCAAACTAGTTGAAAATAATTTGCCAGATGAATGGATAGGGTAATGTATTAAGAATAAGACAGCAGTTCTGAGCCCCACACTAGAATCTAGTAGAGGAACTGCCAGAGGATCAAGATCAACATAAACTTTTAGATGTAATTAAAATATATTATCTAAGTATTCAAATTTGTCATACTGATTCTCTTTGAAGACAAGAACTGCTGTTCTGGTTACTCCCGAAGTACCTGTACACATTCTAGATCTGCACTGTTACATAATTATAAATTGGTATTTGCTAGGTAGATAAAACTAGACATTCTGAAACACTTCTATTTGTACTTTTTCAATAAACTTGACTATTTTATATCAAGATGAGAACCAAACAGATTTACTGTATCTTATAAAAAATATTTTGTTGTCTAAATTAAATGAGATAGTTCAAAATTAACAAAAACAACTGGAACTGTGCTTTTTTTCTTTAAGGTCTAATGCATGTGCACAATAAACTTGTGGATCCACTATACAGTATGAAAGAAGGAAATTGAAGGAGATTGGAGCAAAATTCTGCTTGAATGAACAGAGCACTTTTTTCTAAGTAGTAGATGAATTTTCAGCTATGCAATATAGCAAAACTTGGGAAATTTTGAAGACTGTCATTTTTTCAATCGAATATCTACGTTAAACATTCCATATTTTGAATATTTATATCTTGTACTAGAATTTAAGAGAAGTAGCTGGCTCTCAAGATTGACTGGCTATTTATTATAAAGTACTGAAGTCACATAGCCACCTATAAAACAGCATAGAAATGTCTTGCCTGTTTAAAAAGTCATCTTAAAGGTAGAGTGTACACATCAGGTACCATTTTGTGATATGACTCCAGTGGTGGCATATATTTTCATTTTTTAATGACAGGAACACACTCCAGACCTTTCAGATGGCAAACTCATTTCAGATCTTCACTTTTGGAATGTGATCTTTATGTTTTCTGTGCATTACACACATGCTTTTCTGCACGTGGTTGCCTTAGTCATCTTCCTACAGCACCATCTAGACATCAAAAATTGTGCTATGTATCGTTGGTAAAGGAAATTTGAAGAGATGTCAGTGCCTAAAAGTACAGTTTACATCCTTTTGGAAAGTATGTGTAAGTGCATGTTTTTTTGTGCACCTTCTTCTACAGCACTTTTTTACAAATATCTTATTTTTATTTATTGACTTGGGTTCATATCCCTAATATAAGTATCTTGGCAATTATGAGCTTTATAACTACCAACCCACTTCAGGAAATTCTTTTGAAGAATATTTTCTGATTATTGTTAAACTTAGTATATGATTAGCTTTATCCCTTATGTCTAAAAGGATATGAAGTATGTATAAAAGGAATTACTGTAAACTTTAGATTGCCATAGCAATTTACATAAAAGCATATTGTTTTCTATCTTTAACTCAAATAAACTGTGTAAAAAGTTATCTAAATTTTATTTCCAGAAGTGAAACTGAAGAACATATACATTCAGTTCCCAACAGTTACAGGAACAGTACATAGGACCCTACGTTTATTTTGGGTTTGCTGCCATCATGCATTAGGAGATTTGGGTTAAAAGACATCTCTGTGTCTGTGGGGAGCAAAATGTTTTTCTTTTGCTTATTTTGCATTTCATAAATCCACCTGGTAGAAGAAGCCTTACTTATCTGCTTGTCTGTGTGATTAAAATGTATTTAGTTTCTTAAAATATTAAAATAGCAAATAAAAAATAAAATAAAATTGGTAATAGGGTTTTATGGTTAAAAGTTGGGGTGGGATAAATTATGCTGCTTTACTTTAATTCCAGATGATGTTTTAATAGCCTTATAAATGTTTTTTAAATAGTGAATCAGTAGCATTCCACTTATACTTCCCATAATAAAAATTGTTTACTACAAACTATGCTGACTACCAACCTTAGAAAGTCATACAACATCACAGTGAAAAAGTTACAGGTACCTGCTGTGGTACATGATTCACCAGTTATTTCTGTGCTTTAAAAGTCTAAAAATTCTCCTTTCCATTTTCCTGCCCTTGATGTTAGGGGCTTAGTTGATGTTCTTGTACTCAAGCTCCTCCACAAGCTGAGGAGTGGAAAACTGGCCACTTTCATTCCCTAACTCACGAGCTAAGCTGCTGTCAGGCAAAGAACTTAACTTTTTGAAGAAAGAAACCATTGAATCCCAGCTCTGTCAAGAACTGTGACTTTGGGAAATAAAGAAGTCTCTGTTTCTTCCCCCAAACCTGTACATACACTGAATGAGGGAAGCATACAGAACTCAGCACGGTGGTTGTCACATATTAAATTCAATAAACAGTGCTTATTTTAATATTGGTAAGTGTTTAAACATATTTTAATATTTGCTAAAATCTTAGTAATATTAGGTCATCTGAGGAATACACTTAGAAAGCACACAACTCCAAATCACTAAGTCATCTGAGTGGGAAAGTGGGAAGGGGAAAGAAATTAAGCTTATGGAACATGCTTTTTTTTGTGCTATTATAACTGAAACGGTTTCCTAAAGAGTCATAGGTTAAGAAAACAAAATTAATCTGAATTAAAAAGGCTAATATTGATAAATTTTTAAATAGCAAGCACATAGTACATATTATGTTCTAATTTGTAACTTTCCCTTGGCAGTGATAGAACAGAACACTTGGTTTTACAAATTATTTTTTAGTCTCAAATAATGTCATTTTCAAAATACTACTGTCATGGTTTTTCAGTTTTCATCTGTGTTTTATGAGAAGCTGGAAGGGGGAGGGAAGATACATTAGATGATAATTTATGTATCTAGGACTATGTCACAGGCTACTTCTACACGTAATTTTAAGTAAATCTGCACTTTAATACTGTGAGCTCAAAATATCTGAGATAGGTCTCAGGTCAGTTTAGAAAGTTTATTTTCCCAGGGTTAAGGGTGTGCCTATGACACAACCTCAGGAGGTCCTCACCACATGTGCCCAAGTTGGTTGGGGCACAGCTTGGTTTTATACATTTTAGTGAGACATGAGACATCAATCAGTGTGTGTAAGGTGTACACTAGTCCTAAAAGGTGGGACAGCTCGAAGAAGGGAGGGAGCTTTAACCATAGGCAGGTAAGAGCAAAGGGTTGCATTCTTTTGACTTTCTGATTAGCCTTTCTCTGAATATACAATTTACATGTGAGAGGAAGGTAGAGATATAGTCAGTTATATTTTAATCTGGTTTACTGAAACATGGGGCCGAGGAAGCAATCATTCATGCATCTGTTTCACATGAACAGAAGGATGACTTTGAGTTCTGTCTGTCCCCTGTCCACAAGGAATTTCCTTGTGGGCAAATTTTATCTTTGTGGGCTGTCTTATTTAGGAATAAAATGGGAGGCAGGTTTGCCTCAGTGAGTTCCCACCTTGACTTCCCTTTGGCTTAGTGATTTTTAAGATTTATTTTTCTTTCACATAACCTTAGTATAAAATTCCACCTTGATAGTATTTATCCCTAAAATACGTTTTCTTCATTCAATTCATTCAAGGTAAAAGATAAAGATCAATGGCTAAATAATGTTATCTTGCTGTAATATAGTCTGCAGTCTGGTTTGTTCATTGGCTGAATAAACATGGGAGCTGAGAGCTTTGAAGAGATATTTACTGGCTATGAAATCTCAAGTTACTTTAAAGTTAAGTCTCTTTAATTATGAAATTCAGACAATTATTAAACTCATTAAGAGCTCCTGGTAATACCAAACATCTGGTCATTTTACACAAATGTGTTCTGAATGTCTGAAAGAAAGCTCCCGTCCTTAACTTAGATGTATGTAAACCATTAGTTTCAAACTAACAACCTGATAAAATCTATAAACATTTTATCACGAACTGGAGCGTATGTTTAGATAGTATGTTATTTAAGTTTACTGTTTAATAAATGATTCATATATCAGATAAATTAATCCTGCTAACAAATGTGACATTTAAGGTGATTTTTAAAATCCTTTAACTTAAAGTAGATGGAATCTTAAGTATGGGGCCTTTTAGTGTCAGTAAGGGAAAACTCCATGAAAACAAAATATAGCAAGTCCTCACTTACTGAGATTCATGGAAATTGTGACTTTAAATGAAATGATACATTAAGAAACCAAGGCTTTTTTTCTCATCAATGTTATAAACCACTTAGAAGGAAATGACATTATTCAAGGACTGTCTTCTACATGTCATTTTGCTTAAAGTCAGCTTCTGAGAACCTTTTGATGACATTAAGCACTTTAGTTATGATTGAGTGCTTACTATGTCATGCACTTCTGAGTATTTAATGTATTACCTCATTTAATCTTCACAACAACAACAACCTATGTAGGTAGTAGTATAATCTCAATTTTACCAAAGAGGAAACATGTTAATTTGGCCAAGGTCACCTTACTAGTGAATGGTTGGAACAGGTATTAGAGAACAGACAACACTGCTTCAAAATCTAAGCTCTTACCTACCCACTCATTAATCCCTTTCAACAAAAGGCTAGTAGGTTATTTAAACCTGAAAACCCTGAATGTAACAAGCAAATTGTATAATTTTCATTCTGTTGTCAGCATATTACAAATTGCAATGAGAAAAAGATAGTTTTTAATTTATTAAAATTCTTTGTTTCCCCACCAATTATTTAGAAGATTGTGTTTTCAGAACTTTTATAAAAGTATCTTTTGGAACTTCAATGTTGCCAATTTTCCTCAGCTTTTTTTTCCCTTCTGCTTGTTTCTTCAAAAGTTTCATTTTTCGGGTAATATCACCACCATACTGAAAGATATTTTAAAAAATTGGAAGTCTAAGTCATTCTAGAAAATGTATGATTACATAGAGACATCAGTACAATCTTAACCACACCAAATTATTCGTAAGGCAGACATCTCTATAATCTTCCTAGCAGATCCTGATTTTACTGTCTTCTCAAGAATGATAAAGGCTTTATTCTGGATGGAAGTGAAGATCCCCAAGGAAACCTAGTAGTATTACAATATGCATGTCAAGAATTATCAATCTCATTACTGATTCTAGGCTTGGAATTTTGACTATAAACCCACAGTCTAATATAGAAAACTCTTAATCACATAGGAATAAATGTGCCAAAACCTATATTGAGCATTTAGAGAAAGAACTGATAATTCAATTCTAAACAATATTTAAGAATACTTTTTCTTTTCTTTCCTTTTTTTGAGACAGAGTTTCTCTCTGTCGCCCAAACTGGAGTACAATGGCGTGATCTCTGCTCACTGCAACCTCTCATGCTGCAGCCTCCCGAGTAACTGAGATCACAAGCATGCACCACCATGCCTGGCTAATTTTTGTATTTTTAGTAGAGATGAGGTTTCGCCTTTTTGGCCAGGCTGGTCTCGAACTCCGGGCCTAAAGTGATCTGCCCATCTTGGCCTCCCAAAGTGCTGGGATTACAGGTGTGAGCCACCAAGCCCAGGCAAGAATAATTTTTTAACAGCTGAATGATAGCAAACTGGCAAAGCAGTGTCAGAGGTAGATTTCAACCGTAAGATAAAGTGCACTGTTTTCAAAATCTTTCATTATATGTTAGATCAAGAAAACATAACCCTGATCACCGAAATAACTGTTATAAAAATCTTCCTTAGTATTACATATAAGAACAATTTTCATAAAATAAAAAAATTTTTACAAATTTTTATTTTATAAATAAGATGAAAAATATTTAAGGATATGGTCAAAATGAACAAGTTGCCATGGTCAAGCTGAAATTTACCTATTCAAAAAGAAAACTTGGAGATAAAGGATGTATACAAACCAACAATGGAAATCATTAAGTTTATGCCCTCTTTGATTTAAAAGCCATAAAAGTTATAAAGTAAAATAAATATAGCGAGATACATACACATTTTGCCAAAACATTTTTCCTATAGGCTTTCACACTGTAAAAGAGAAAATTTTGTTTAAGTACATAATTCCATTATACTGTTTAAAAGCACTTTCTTACCAAAAACAATCTCCCCTTTACTATTAAATTTTAATGATAGTATTATTACCTATGTAAAATTGCCATAAGCATATAGATACCTCAAATGCTCTTGTATGTATTTTCATGTACTTGGCATAAAAGAACAAATAAATTCAACATGTTTATCAACACACATTAAGAAAAATAGGTCAAGGCTTATGGTAGTCAGGTTTGATTAGGCCAAATTCAAGCATGATGTGACCTTGATTACAAGAATTATATAAGGTTATTTTTTACTCAATCTTAAAATACTGTTCCCACTACTACAGAAAAACAAAAAATGTTTATTATCTTATTACTGCCTCATACTGAATGTGGATGGAGTGGCTAGGAAGATAAATATATCCACACCAGCAGTTATAAACTAATCTGTAACATCTGAGAAATTTCTAGATCACTCTAATTTTGAAAACAGCTCCATCTTTACATATTCCTTAAGACAGATAAATCTATTTTTTTAAGGTATTCTCTATCTCAACACATTTATGATAGAATGAGCACTTGCTAACTCTTAAATTGTACTTTCCAGGATGTTCCCTGGTTATCATCTCCATTCTGCCTGGTCTTGGTATTTATGAAACAGAGTAACTAACTGAAGCAAAACAGTGTTAGGAAATAAAATGTATTGTAAACAATGGGCCTAAAATTAACCTCAAGTCTATATTAAAATGACGGTTGTATTTCCCTATTAGGTTTGGGTTAACGTAGAATTTAATATCAATTGACAACTTTTCCTAACTGAGGAGGTACTTCCTATTTCCGAGAAGTCTTAGCATCATTAAGGAAAGGAAATGGGAAGTGCTACAAGACATGTTCTGCACTTACTGTTACAAGCAGAGTAGCTTATTCAGTGTTCTTCATTGTTATTTTTTTGTGTTTTTTGTTTTTTTTAATTAAGAAACAGGGTCCCACTGTTTCCCAGGATAGTTTCAAAGCAATCCTCCTGCCCCAATCTCCCAAGTAGATGGAATTACAGAATGTGAGCCATCACACCCAGCCAGTGTTAGACTTATGTATTACATTTCATGAAAGACTAGTGTCCTACAGAAAGCCTATCTTCCATATCTACTATAATTCATGTGAGGTCCCTAATCTAGAGAGCAAATCCTAACACAGTATTAGCATTCTTTGATTTATAACCTCCTTAGCTCTTGGGGAAGTGGGGAGGTGATATTAAATGCTTCAGGTTAAAAAAAAAATTGTAATTTTGTCATTTCAGAGACAAAACCTTTTCGTTTCAGTTTCTATTAATTTATAACCTGCCCAAAAGGATAAAACCATAAAGAAATTACTTACCTAGGAAATTCAATATAGTCATTCATTAATATGAGTAGAGATTAAAACAATTCCTCAAACCCATATACATTATACTAACTGCAAATCATATCATCCAATGGTGCTATATAAGTAATTCAAAGTAACAGTCATTACTTAAATCAGAAAAATGGAGAACACTATCATACTGTTTCTTCAATTAAGAATACAGTTTAGGCCAATGTTAAATTACAGTGTTCCATATTCTTTAACTTTTTAGGTATATCATTTCTGAAATTGACTCAAGAACAAAAATGAATTTCAACTCACGTTTCTCTTGCAATGATTTTACTTCCAATAGAAGCTTGAATTGCTATCTCAAACAGTTGCCTAGGAAGACAATCCTTGAGCCGTTCGCACATGGCTTTGCCAATCGAGTGTGCTTTGTCTCTGAGACAGAAAAATACAACTGTTTATATATCATAAATAAGAATATTTCAAGTATCTTTCTAGTTAGTTGCATAATCAATGTATAGGTGATCTAAAGACGTTCAAATGGAATTATCATAAACATCTCTTAACTCTGAATCACAAACAACTTCTCTGAATTAAAAAGGTAATATATGATTACAGAAAATTTAGGAATACAAATATTAGAGTATAGAAACAGTTCTTGATTCTCTTTCCTTACCTACCGAAAACTTAAAACATTTTGGAATGTTTATTTTAAACATATTGCCTTTCTAGTCATTTTTTTTTAACTTTTTTTAGTATGATCAGTGTTTATGATATATTCTAACCCTCTTATTTAATAGACATTTTTATGTCAATAAATATTAAACCACAAGTTTTAATGGTTTAAAATAACAATAAGTGTGTTGCATAATTTATTTTAACCAATTTGCTGTTTCTTGAACACAGGTTTTTCCTTTTTATAATTTTTTTCAATTATAAAAAAACTTTTTGTTCCCAATTCTAAATCCATCATCACAAAATTTTTTAAACATTTTTTTTTTACATAGTAAGGGGAAACATTTCTAAAACACTATTCTTTTAGACTATTATAACTGTTTCTTTTCTATTTTTAGTAGTCTAGAGAAAAGTGTGGAAAAGAAGAGAAAGTAAAGCTAGTAGTGTGAAATCTATTTTAATTACATTTAATAGTTTTTTAAATGCAGCTGCTCAAATAAAAATAAGCAAAAAATAAAAACATATCAAAAGTGAGTATTTTTGCATTGCATCATTAGTTTCTATTAAGCTTACTTGTGTACAACAGTTACTAGCTCCTCTACGGTGTTTCCATTCAGTAGAATATCCATTTTCACAAGTTCTGCAGTCTGGTAGCCTGCATCTTCATAATCAAAACTAAAAGGAAAAAAGTCCAAGTGATAAATATTACAGTTCCCAAGAGATTAGCTTTTTACTCTTTACAAAATGTCTATTTTCTGCCCCATTACACTCCCCAAAGAGATCTAACTTTCCATCAAAATATTATATATACAGTTTCTTGTGAATGGATCTAAATGTTAGCGTCTTTTTATGTTTATTAAATCACCAGCCAAAGCAAGGGGAATATGTTTACAAGGGGAAGGAAAAGAAATTGGTGAACCTGACAAAGAAAATGGTTTATTGAAGACAAATACCATGCCTTCCCAATGTTCCCAGCAGCTGGCAGGCTTCAGACAATAGTATATATTAATGGATCATTTTCAGATTCATGAGTTGAGTTTCTATTTAGCTTTCTATTCCCAATGACAACTCCATGTTTTAATAAATACTATGGCTCTCATAAAATGCCATTAATAAATGAGACTTTTGGATTTCCTATTTGGCCCTTCAGCTTGAACCTCCCTTCACAGGGCTTTTGTGAGGATTAAATGAGTTAATACATGTAAACCACTTAGAGGCATGCCTAGTACAAAATAGGCATTAAAATAGAGCCTACTTTAGCATAAATACGAGCACTTAGTTTCAGCTGTTTTAACAAAGTGGTCAAAGCTTGCAATGTCAAAACAACACCTAAATGTTTAACTTATAAAACTGAAGTCTAACAACTAGGCTTACAAGTTGTCCCAATCACAGACAAGAACATGTATACTCCTGTTGTCTTAATTTTAAAACAATTGGTGCCTGGACTTGCAAAATTATGTTTGGTTTCTAAAGATTTTCAGCAGGATGGTCATAAAGTGACAATATACTCTATTACCAGATTACTGTTAGAAGTACTGTTAAAATCCTTTCTTCAGGAAGCATCACTTATTAAACATTTGCTGTATGAAAGACACCATGTTAAGCACCATACAGAATACAAAGCAAATATAACAGGGAGAGAATAAAACAGACGTGGTCCCTAACTTTGAGGCTGTTATAGCTCCAACTATGTTGTGGTCCGAATATTAAAAGTTTCTTAACTCATTTCTTCAAAAGAAATCATTATAAAAATTGTGTTTCTGTTTCCAAGCAGCCCAATGGATACCTAACCTCTACTCCAAACATAGGTAGTATTCTATTGTTCTTCTTAGAATGCAGGAAACGCATTTTTAATTCCAAAAAGCTACTGAGGCTATGGGTTGAGGGCAAATGCCTGTCTGATTAGGCATCGCTACAGCCCTTGTATTAACACAGGAATTCCTGCTCTGACCCTGTTGCAGTTGATTCTTGCCTCATGGTATGAAAGAAATTATTTCCTGATCTTAATCCATAGCCCATAGTCTATGAATTTCTGTTAAGTGTGGAATTGACTGCATATGTAAAACATCCATCTTCAACATAACAATTACCTTAATGCTGGAAGCCAGAATATTTTATTTTTATGTAGTTCAAAAATAAATCATGTTCTTTCATTAAATTCAAAATGTATTTAAGTTTCCAAACTAAGACTTTTTAAGATCACTTATAATTGAGAAAGTAGTACCCAAATGCAAACTAAAATTGACAGACTTCTGTTAAAAATATTTATAAATATTAAACCTACTAATCTTCCTTTCAACTCTGGTAATTTTAATATGCCCTCTCAATTTATGTTACTTTAAATTCCATTGCCACTTACTTGCTCAACGTCTTGTCTGAAAGACACATACGAGAAAAAAACTGGGTGACAAAGTAGAAAAAAAATTCTCAACACAAAGGGACATGAAGATTCCTTGGTAAGAAGAGTTATCATATATGCTAACTCTCTTCACTGACAAGATGATAAATAAAATTAAACTTCCAAGTCACTGCAACATGTTCTTTAATCAATGGAATTTGTCTCTGCATGTTAATATTAATATTCATGCACTGTATGGGAAGTATATAGATGTCAATGCTCATTTTTCCCCTTCTGCTTTAGCATGTTTTATATCTATATTCCACTATATACTGTCCTGTAACATAAGATTTTAGGGCATAGTGAGGTTATCTAGAGTTAAATGCTCCAGCAACAACAACAAACAGCCTCTCAGAATGCTATGCCCTGAGTTCCTTATTTGTTATTTAATAGTAACTCTCCTTTCACATTTATCTGACTTTTCTTCATGTACTCCTCTGAGATACTCAATAGTTTTCATGATGTAGACAACCTGTTCCTGGAAAGACTAAGTTATTAAAGTGTTCACAAATGCAGGAGCACAGTTAGCATTTTTTACATACTGAATATGCACTTCTACTTTTCAAATATAAATAGATGTTCTTGAGATTACATAACATACAAATATATTTTAAAAGTGCTTTTGAGGTTATAGTAATTTTTGAAATTAGGTCTAATTCTTAATACACAAGAAATACAACTTTTTTCATGAAAAAGGGACCTTTTTTAAAAAAAGAGAAATAAAAGTCAGATAATAAATGAACGGACACTTTTCTCCTATAAGCAAATTACAAGTACTCTGTAACACCTATGAGGTTGCTCCAAGTCATTCTAACCTTAGTGTATGACTCTCATCTATTTTCAAGAGAGCAGAAATTACTAAATAAATGAAGAATTAGTATACTCTTGCTCATCAATATTTCAAAAAGGTTGGTCAGGCATCTTAGGTTCTCATCAATATTTTACCTGGCATATCCAGAAGATAGGGATTTCAAAGAGTCATAAAAATCTACCACAATTTCATTCAAAGGAAAGAGATACTTAAGCATAACTCTATTTTGATCAATAAACATCATATTCTTCTGAACTGCTCTTCGAGCCTAAAAAAGGAAGGAAAAAAATGAGTTTAATGGTAACCTACTCAAATATTGAGGAATAATGTATTTATCTAATGGTCTAGTAAAAACTTGTGAGCAGTATTCATAATCAAAGGAGAAACATTTTGTATTTCAATTACATTATGATTTCTACCAAAGCTTTTAATCTTTAACAATTTTATCTTTTAAAATAAACACTATTTCATTTAACAATAAATAAAAATTAAAAGTCCTAATTTCTTATTTTACAAATTATTAAGTCCAGAGAAATTAAAAGTGAAAGATCAAGATTACAATCTAGTTTTTAACATAATTAAAACACAAGTCACCATTTGACACTTTCCAATATCTACGAATATTTCACATAGGTATTTTTAAGAAATATAATTACATACCATTTGTGGATTAAATCATTTATAACACTGTGGTGAGAACTAAAGCAAAATGGAATACCTTCAAATTTATGGTACCTGAAGTACTATAATTATCTTTCAAACTACTCAAAAAGGAAAAGAAATTATACGTTTAGCTACTTCAGGATAAGTAAGCATCAAATTTCTTTAGGCTAAAATATCAAATCAGTAAATTACACAAATTATCAGAAATGTTTTTCTTATTTAAAATCAAAATAATTTAAAAAGTATACATACTTATATATACATGTATAGATATACAAATATATATGAAAATCTCTTATTCAGTATGCTCAGCAGAAAGAAATATTTTAAAACCTGAGTTGGAAATCACTATTTTAGAGGAGTAAAATCTAATTTTGTATTAAATTGTATTACAGTTATACCTGGCATAGCATCATTATTTTTCCAGTATATTCATCTGGTGTGATAATAGTACCCAAAACAACTGGCTCCAAATATTCTGTTACTTTTGATTTATCAGGGAATTGTGCAGGATTGATAATTGTAATTTCTTTTTCTCTATATTCCTAAAAATTAGAAAAATCAGCAATACTTAAAAAGAAATCTTAATATAATGATTATCATGTTTCTTAAAAGTTTGCTTTATATTTTAAAATCCCTCCAGCTATAATCATTTTATACTAATAACACGTATTAGTAAATAATATATCCAATTATTGATATTTACTAAACATATTTAATGGACCATTCAGAAAAAGTATGACAAAAGAATACATTTTAACCTGACAGTTATAAAACATAATTAGTTTAACAAGTTAATTTTTGTTGGAAAATATTTAGACTGCCCAAATTAATATTTATTTAAAATGAACAGATTGCCACTTGCATGGAATACAATATTGTTTTCATCACTGATTTGAATTTAAAATTTCCCAGTCACAGGAATGAATGCTTCACTTTTTATGAGATCAATTACTTATGACAAAATTTACATTTTTCATCTTTGTGCTAGAATCAGAACATTATTTTCACTACTAATTTTACCTTTTACTTTAGCAATAGACTAGTTTTGATAATGCTGAGATTATATCAGGTTAAGAAAAATATGACATTAAGGTAGTTTTCAAAATTTCTTCATCAGTTAGCCACAGGATAATTCAATTTTTATTACTACTAATCAATAAATATTTGGTTTAATACCTAATAAGCTACTGGTTTACTAAAAAGTTTCTCCTGCATTGTATATATACACATTTATTTTTTCCAAGAGACTAATGCAAATAAATATCAAGTACCTTTATCAGTTTTGATGATGAAAGTACAGCTTTATATGGAACAGTAGGGGTTGTCAAAATAACAGAAGCATTATATTCTTGCTCTAGTCGCTGGTTGAATACTTCCATGTGCAAAAGTCCAAGAAATCCTAGCCTGGGGGATGAAAAAGACAAACTCCAAAATGTTTAATGTTCCATAGGTTTCATTTTCTTTTTTTTAATGAACATACTGTTACTTTAAGGGAGGGATGGAATTAAGAGTCATTCAAACAATTCACAATATAATTAAATGCTAGCATAATTTTATTAAATAAGATTAAAATCTTACACTGGGAATCTATTTTAAATCACTATAAAACTTATCAATAAAAAGTCAACCCACAAAATGAAACAGGCAGATAAAAATTGTTTTCATTCACTTTACACTAATACAAACTTATTTTCAGTAAATGTTCCAGAACAATGCACCGTTTATATCTCCCTTACCTATACAAATATTTTTAAAACCTGCCTTTCCTATAAAAAAAAATATATATATGAATGAATCTTACCTCCAGCCAGCACCCAGAGCAAGGCTACTATCCCGATGAATTGTCACACTGGAATCATTTAAAGTCAGTTTCTCTATGGCACTCTTCAGATTGTTATATTCAGATTGGTCTACAGGATATATTCCTGGAGATACAATGATTTCTAGTTATCATGTGATAAGCTATCTATAGAACAATCAAACCACATTTCTAGTGCTGCCAAATTCAAAATTAGTCATTTACCTTGTAAATTACTTGCTTGTATTTTACTATCCAAAATACTGGTTTGCTAAAAATTATGAGTATTACGTTAAATTGGTTTCAATGTATCTTACAAATCATTAGTCTTAAAGAATATACAATTAGATTTGCACTCCAATGTTTTTAAGGGTTTTGAAAAAAGCGGAAAATTTTAAAAACCATGTGAATTTTAAAAACCAAATGAAACTCTATTATTAGATAAAAATAGAAGTAGAAATGAAGAACTATACTGGCTCTCAATTCTCTAAGGCAGATTATCTATTTAAAACCAAAGTTAAATTTTGCTTTTTGCTATTTACTGACAAAAACTATGGGAGCCATTACTGATTCTCTTTCATCTGATACCTCTGAAGTCCTCTAAAATCCAGATGACTGACTTTGCCTAAAGGTAAAGGTAAACAAAGCTCCTAATTCCCAGTGAGAGAGGACTATAGAGTGAAAGCCAAGGGCTAGATACTCAGCACAGAATAACCTGATGATCTTCAATCAGGTCTTCCTTTTTCCAAAGTAAAGGAAATAAACGATTCTGAAATTATACATACTGAGGCAACACCATTCTCTGTCATGTCTACATGAGTACAATATAATATTAAAGAAAGTCTATTGAAGATGAAGGCACTCAGTGTCTACTGATAATAATAAAAACATCCTAATTAGTAAAATGTTTAAAATACAATGAACTCCCTAGAAAAATAAGAAATAAATTTGTATAACTGTGTTCTATACATCACAGCTTCTTCCTGAAGAGCTAATTTCTTAACGAGTCCTAAATGATCTCCCACATAAAATTTCATCATACATATGAAATTATAAACTGATAAACAGCACAAAGAATCAAGTGAACAATAAGCTGGAATTAGTAGTTATTTAAAATAATCAGAATGTATATATATCTTGTAGTAATTTTTCTTTAACCATAGAGTAAGACCTTTAGATTAAAAATATTGTGGCCCTCAACCTTTGAATTTGTGAGCTCCTCACCTGCAAATACCATTGGTTTCGCTGATTTAAACCCAGGCAAGGGCTCCACTGGTTGCTTATGTAAATGTAATGTATCTCCTATTTGTGCTTCAGTGACATCTTTCATCCCAGCAATCAGATAGCCCACCTGTCCTGCATATCTAAATAAAATTATTATATGCAAATATTTACTGCTTTAATGTTTCAAGCACGTAACTCACAATTAATTCTACCTTCCAGGAAACTATCATACACTTTCCAAACAAAACCTTGTCAAACTGAAAATAAATGCTACATATCAATTCTCAAACTCTGAAGCTTGTCAGCAAATGAACACACCAGATCTACAATCCATTATACCTCTCCACTCATTAACCTAAGGTCTTTTTCATGACTCTGCCAACCTTTGCAATTTAAACAGCAGTTTCTAAAATATATTGTAAATACAGTGAAACCAGTAGGTACAAAAGCATTACAAAATGTATACTAATTGTGATATCTTTTATTAATGATGTTGCAAATGTTCTTTAACAAAGGGAAAAAAAGGTAAATTTTTATCCAAGAAAAATGTAAACTTTCAACAAACTGGCCATTTGATACTCCTCCTGTAGCAAAAGAACAAATCCCATGAGTTCAGGTTAACCTTAGTTAAAAAAAATGACAAAGAAAACATACAATTCCGTACAAAGTTAAACTAATTTACACTTAGAATGAGCTATAAGAACCTTAAATGAAGATATGATATTATTCACTATATATGTGATAATGTTCAATATAAATCGATGTGAAAATATTTCAGTAAAATTAGACTTTCTAACTCAATATAGTGTTGTTGTTAGACATACAACACTAAACACTCAAATGTAATATGATAGTCATCTGGTTCAATAATTTCTACAGAAATTAAATTATTGTGAGGAATTATTGTGAGGAAACAGGACCTCACAAAGCTCAAATTATGTATCCAAGGTCATGTCTCATCAGTACCTGATATGGAGTAGGCACTCAATAAAAAGTTCTTTTATAAGTCAATTCAGATGTGTTTTTGTAATGCATACTACCATTGCTAATACCACTCCCCAAGAATTTTAATCAAGGTTTTACCATGAATTCCACACAAAGATTTATTAATGTTTCTATACTACCTTTATAGTGGAAAATCTAGTTATGAAGAAATGTCAAAAATGATACCCAATATGGATATGGGTGGAGGGAACTAACTCTTTCATTGTCTCATCAAATATCAATATAGCATCCAATCTACCTTGGATCCTAAACCTAGTTATGACTAGTCATCCAGAATAAAAACCTGTATCATAATTTATAACCAGTGATGTTTCTATTATCCTTTATCTTTTTTGTTTTTTTTCCTCTTAACAATTTCAAGAACCTTTATTGAAACCAATATTCAAATAGTATGTCAAGGGTGAAATGTCTCAGCAAAACCAATTTAACAATTCCAAATATATATAAAAACATTTAATCTTGTTAAAGGTGATAATTTACCCAACCCCTATTTTATCTGCTATACTTCATTGCACCCAATAAACAGGAAAGACTTTGTTTAATCATTTGCACCAAAAAAACACAAAAAACAAAAATCCCATCAAATCAGAGTGTAATTATAGGCTGAATGTGGTATAACTAAGGCTTCCAGTACTACAGTCCACAAACCCACATGAGCTTCCTTTTGACAAAGCATTTACTGTATCATTGCAATAATAGTTTTTTTTAAGTTACTAAATAAGGATCATTCTAAGCACACCAAGTTGAGAAAAAAACAAATAGAAAAACATACAAATACATTTTAATTACTAATGCAGATTACTTACAATTTATGAGTTGGCTGCTCATTAGGATTCAAAACTCCTACTTCATTAACTTCGTATGTCTTTTGAGTATGTGCAGATACAATTTTATCTCCTTTGGAAACCACTCCATCAAATAATGCTACATTGGCTACCACGCCTCTATAGTGGTCAAAGGTGGAGTCAAATACCAAAGCTCTCAAGGGATTTTTGCGATGCACTTTAGGACTAGTACATATAAGTAAAAGTAAATACATACATACTAAATTAAAATCTTAGTAAAATTCATATTGGCCACTTAAGATATTGTACTTAATTTGAGTTCTTGAGAAGGTTTGATACACAACAGCCTAAATAAAAAGAACTTTTTATAAAATATATTAGATTTAATAACCTCTAGTTTTAACAGATTACTTATGAATATAGTTGTTCATCTTAAAGCAAAGGAAAATAACTACCAATGTACTGAGGTATGTTTTATAATGACTGTCAAGAAGAGACCTCTATTAATCATCTTTGCTTTTTCTTTTACTTTACTGAACTTGCCTTCTATGTATTACTAAAAGCAAATAAATTTATTCTCACTCCCTGTAAGGATATTTGCCACATCTATTTAGCTAAAATAACAGTTCACACTGACAGTCTTTGAACTATTAAATACAGACAGTTTTTGAATTATTAAATAGCTACAACTAGTACAAAAATCACAAAATACTCACGGGGGGATTCTTTCAATAACTGCCTGAAGAACACTCTCAACATTTGTTCCAAGTTTAGCAGAAATCTAAAAGCATACATGGGAAAAAAATAAGCATTTAAAGTTAAAACTATACTTTTGAGAAATACAGCAAAAGGAAGAAAACAAAGCAAACAGCATACTGACAAATACCTCTTTTTCTAATATAGTTAGGTAGTTCTATGGTTCTAGGATTGAATTAGAAGAGACTCCTGATTATGGTATTGAAAGAGGAATAGACTAAGAGTTCAAAATCTGGGTAACAATCATGTCTCTGCATTGATTGCATGTATTTGACCAGTATCTATCTCCTTGAGCTTAAATTTCATCATCTAAAAAAATGAAGCGATTATTCATATTCTGCCTAAATCTCAAGGTTGTTGTGTGGATAAACAATATATATGGATGTCATGAAACTATAATGCATCTTACTACTTCACTGTTCTCACAGCAGAAAAGCAAGCCAATACTCAAACCACATGGTATGACTGATCTTTATCACCAGTAATAAATGGACTACCTCTTAAATCCTGATTTCAAACTTCTTACCCTTCACATTCACTCTAGACTAGGATTTTTCAGTTTCAGCCCTACTTACATTTCAGGCCAGATAATTCTTTGTTTTGGGGCTGTTCAGCAGCAACCAGGGCACCTCATTTACCCACAAGATGCTGGTAGCATCCCTCCTAAGTTATGAAAACCAAAAATGTCTCCAAGTATTTGCCCAGGGGCAAAACCATCACCACTGACAACCACTGCTCTAGACTGTAGTACTTTCTTTACAACAGTCCTTAACTTGTATATATTAAATATACTAATTGATGCTATCCATCGGCTCCACCCTCCACCCCATTTCTCTCCTTTCCCAGATGGGACTCTAAGATCCATTATTTCCAGTCACTCTGGTTCAACCACTTTCTACTCTTTCCTCATTATAGGCAGCTGGCAAAACATCCACCTTGACTGCATCTAATTATGTGTATTTTCTATGCCCATATACAGAGCAGCTTAACATTACTGGAGGAAAAAAATCAAATAAATGGTCTGGTTCATTTTGTTGTACTGGCCCGAGCACAGGAAATCAACACCAAGACAAAAGTATGCCAAATTGCAGGGTCTTTATTGCCTGTGGCCACAGAGGACTCGCGTCTCTCCAACCCCTCCAACCCGTGGCCCCAAAAGGAGAGTGTCAAGACATTTTATAGCCATAAAACCACCTCGGGGGTAAGGGTGAGGGGTGGGGGTGGGGGTGGGGGTAAGGGGCTTCAGACATTCAGAGAGCTAGTAGATTCTGTAAATCACCTCCTGGGTGGAGATGAGGGTGAGGGGCTCCGGACATTCCGAGGGCCAGGGGACTTTCAACATCCTGATTGTTACTTAAGTGTTTCACAAAAGTCAAGATAAGCATTTGTTTACACATTGTCTGTGTAGGGTGGAAATCACAGGCCTTAATTACTTATTACAAGTCACAGGGGCCAAGATGGCATTGGTTTTGACTGCTTGCCTGTCACATTAGGGTTACAGAGAGCAGTTTCAACAGAAAGCTGAGGTATGGTTGAGGTATGCAGTTTTATGAGACTTTTACCATGTCACAATTTCTTGAACCTGACAACAAGTGATCTTGCTTATGGGCAGCCATGCTGCTTATATACTTAACTCCAAATCAAGAAACATCATTTAATATCCTACAGATTTAAAAATTAAGGTTCTTTATAAATGTTTTAATTAAGGTGATTAATTTTTATTAATTTTGAAATGGAGGTTTGTAGATAGTGTTCAGTTTAGCAACGAACTATTATGTTTTATGTGTTATGCTGTTTCCTCCTGGATGATAATCTCCTTTTCTCTTCATATGGATTGTTAATACTTAGCCACAATAATTTAACATCTGGGCCGAGCACGGTGGCCATGCCTGTAATCCCAGTACTTTGGGAGGCTGAGGCGGGCAGATCACAAGGTCAGAAGTTTGAGACTAGCCTGGCCACAATGGTGAAACCCTGTCTCTACTAAAAATACAAAAATTAGCAGGGCGCACAGAGGCAGGCGCCCGTAATCCCAGCTACCCAGGAGGCTGAGGCAGGAGAATTGCTTGAAGCAAGGAGGTAGAGGTTGCAGTAAGCCAAGATCGCACCACTGCATTCTAGCCTGGGCGACAGAACAAGACTCTGTCTCAGGGAAAAAAATAATAGTAATAATAATAATAGTTTAACATCTGAGCTACTATTACTAGCTGGATTCTCTATTTCTCTTCTTGGACCTCTTTGATCCATTCTCTATAAGGCTACCCCAATAACCGGTTTATTTGTTCCTCTTGCTTTAAAATTCTTCAATTGCCTTAGAATAATTTTCAAGCTTTTTAGCACAGCAAGAGTCCCAGCATGACTTGATTCCTGCATACCCCTACAAAGCATTCTTACCCAGTCTGCCTTTCTGATCTGTAAACATGACAAATCTTTTCCTAATTTAAGTCCTTTACATATACTCTTTTCCCTTCCTGGGATGCTTTTCTGAAAACTATTCATTCCTTCAGGTCTCAGATTATCAAAGAAGCTTTTGCTAAATTATTCCATGTCATAACATCTTTCTAAGAAAAAATGATTTTTCACTGTTTATTATGGTATTTCACCTAGAAAAATACAATTTGTTGAATGAATTTCCTTGACGATCTCTATCCTAGTCAATAATTCCTATGCTTACTTCTTTGTTTACTTATTTATTTACTGCCTGCAAAGAGGGAGGGGTCCTGTCTGTCTTGTTCACTGCCATACTCCTAGCTGGCATATACCAAATAAGAATCTGAATGATTGTTGTTAATATTAAAATCAGAATAATCATATTTTAATATAACACAATCCAAAATATAAAACCATATATAACTTGCTCTTTCAAAAATTAAATGAGATTGAAAGAAAAACACTACATTGCTGCGCTGACATACGTAACACTGCCATGTAGCACAGCAGTTTGGCTGTGGCAGTTTAACAAGGAAATCATCATTTGAAAGGTAAGTAAAAATTCAAATTTAAAGTGGTAGCTACTTTGATATAAATAAAATCTATTGTTTCCTAGCATTAGTATACCTAGCTTTTCACAAAATAGGTTTTTGTCAATTCCAAGAATGATACAGACAAATGCCTTGAAATTAGTTTGAACCTGCTCTTCAAAGACAACATTTCCATTGGACAAAATGACAAGACAATAAACAATAATGCAGGGAGTTTCAGAAGGCCTGTGTTTTGGTCCTGGCACACTGGCTAACCCTGTGATCTTAGGACAGTGATAAAACCTTTGAGCCTCAGTTCCTTTAACTACATCATCACAGTAATTTCTGTATGTCCTAACAATATAAAAAGAGCTTCTGGTAAGGATCAAAGGAAATAATAGTAAAAGAATTTGTAAAACTATCAAAAACAGCATATAATGCCAGATTATCAAATAACATGAAATTTCACTTAGCTCAATTACCTGAGATTTTTTTCAAAGTATAATCTTTTTCGAAAGTATTTTACCTTAATACATTCATCACTTGGAATATCAAACACTTTCTCAATTTGGTTTTCAACCCTTTCAGGATCAGCATTCTTCAGATCTATCTGAAAAAAAAAAAAAAACATTATGTGTTAGTACAATAAAGATAAGATGACTTATGTATTAACAGTATTCAAAGGTAGTAAAAAGCTTACCCATTTTAACCTAACTGACCCCACTATGATTTTTTTAAAAATCACTGATATATTAGCAGTACAATTTAATAACCATGACTGAAAAAGAGAAGTTAGGTAGCAAAGAGCATGCAAAAAAACTTAAGCAGTTGGCTACTCAGCAACTGAAGAGATCAGTAGCAATTTATCAATTAAGCAGCATGTGAACTGATTTTAAAAGTTGATTTAAATATAACATTGTCTGACAACAAGCTGTCTTACCTATGGCCTTCTTTTAAACTTAACCCCAATATCAAGAAATATAATTTAAAGCAATGCAGATTTTAAAATTAAGATAATTTTGAAATATGAAATGGAATTTTATAGACAGAGCTCAGTTTAGCACTAAATTTTTATGCTTCATGTGTTGTCTTGTTTCTTCCTAGATTATATTTCCTATGTATGGTTTAATCTGACAAACATGATTTGTCCACCCTGCAGAAATGGCCCTCAGTCACCTGCACGATAATTCAGGGAAAGTATCTTCTCAATTGTGTGTAAGGGTAGAGTTTCAGTTGTACTTCCATTACATACAATACAAAGAGATAAATTCCACAATGTATTTAATAAATACCTGGAGATCCCTCATATAGTAAATTGTACAATTAACATTTAAACACTAACTTTACTTTTAGAAAGTGAAATAATAACACTGTTGTCTTATTGTAATTACCTTATTTATAACTGGAATTACCGATAGCTGTGCTTCAAAGGCAAGAAAGAAGTTTGCTACAGTTTGGGCTTGAATACCCTGAAAAGATCAAGACACAAGATACTCAGATGACCATTCTATTATCCATCACAAAACTTGTAATTTAAGACCACTACACATATCTTCATCAAGAGATTTTGCATCATGCTAATAATAAAATTAAATAAAATGCCACGTAACTACCCTTCATACTTTTCTTTCCAACTTATGTCTTTGGGGTCAAAATGAAAATCACTGATGGTAAAGCAATAACCACATCAAGCAGAGTGACCGAACAGACAGTCTACTAAGTTTGAGATAGGAAGCCTTTAAGGAAAGGTACAGGGCAAATCAACTATGGGTATCTATTTTTCTATGCATCTGGATCATTCTCTATGATAATTCCTTTCAGTTCAGAAAGCATTTATCAGGCATTGCAGAAACGAAGATGTAACATGGACTCCCAAGGACCTCAAAGCTTTTGAGAGAACACAGTCATCACGGCAGTTTATAAAGCTCACTACTGCCTATATAAGTTAGAGACTGACTTTCCTTAATAGAATCAGGAAAGGCTTAACACAACACCATCACAACCAGCAACAAAACATTAGGTTCTGAATGAAGAGTTTGTGAGAAACATATATCAAAATCTTACTTAAGTACATTCACAGCTTTCACAGCTTTTATATGGTCATCTGCTGAATATCTTTAGGGTTTACAGCACAAAAAAGCTTAGTAATGTTATTGATTTTTTAAAAACCGAATACTCCCCAAATTATTGCCTAACTAAAGATTTATTTGCAAGATCTGCTAAAAACGAATATAGAAAGCTCAGATTAAGAACTGCTAAAATTGGTAGGCTTTTTTTTTGGGGAAGATGCAATGATAATATGACATCACACTTCAAAAAAATACAACAATCTTTTGAACAATTCCAATTTAAACACTAGTCAATTCCAGAGAATGCTTTAGTATAATAGTATTTCAAACTAACAGGATGAAACCATATGATTTTGAATAAGTAATAGATTAAAACTATTTTTTAATTATACGTGAAGTTCTGAGGTACATGTACAGAACGTGCAGGTTTGTTACATAGGTATACACATGCCATGGTGGTTGGTGCATCCATCACCCCATCATCTGCATTAGGTATTTCTCATAAATCTATTTTTTAAACACAAAAAGTATATTTCCAAAACACATTTTAAAGAAAAACTCTTGAAACAACCAGTCATGTCATATCACATGTCACATCATACAAAATGAAAAGCACCTACCTCATTTGCATCAACCACGAGTAAAACTCCCTGGCAAGCAGAAAGTGACCTGGATACTTCGTAACTAAAATCAACATGGCCCTGGGAAACAAAAATATTGATACCTGTAAATGTGAGCTGTAATTTTTAAGGAAAGGGCATGATGGGAAATTTATTGACTCTACTTGATAAAAGTTGTTAAATACTGGTTTCTTTTTTGTAGCCTGTGCTTTTGAAACAATTGACACTAATAGAAGAACACTAAGAAAACAAAAAGTAAAAGCAGATGTTTAATATTCAGTTCAAAAATTAAACAAGGATCTGTTTGCACTACTGACACAATATTCACTTTAACAATACATACAAAATTAAACTTACTGGTGTATCAATGAGATTTAAAAGGTACTGCTTTCCTTCATAATTGTGAAAAAGAGATGCTGTCTGTGCTTTAACAGTGATTCCTCTTTCTCGTTCCACTTGCAATTTATCGAGAACTTGCTTATTATTCTTTGTTTTATCAATTGTCCCTATAAACAGAAACACTGATATTTCTCTGGGCTTTAAAAAAGAAAGAGAATATTACTTACAAAATTAAAATTTAAGAGTATGGTGAAAGTAATTCTCAATAACTCTTAGCCATCAGTTAAGTATGTAATATAAATGGAAATACCTGTAAGTTCTAGGAGCCTGTCAGCTAAAGTACTTTTGCCATGATCCACATGTGCAATGATACTGAAATTTCTAATATTTTCAACAGGAAATCTAGACATGTCAAGTTTTTCCTAGAAAGGGGAAATACCACATTTAGGAGTATAAATTTTGCATACTATAAAACAACTACACCAATTCAAAGCATATTCTCTTAATCGTTGAACAATATCATTTCTAGCATATAATATTGTTTACATTCTTCTAAGAATAAAGACATGTATGGCTAAATTCATATTACAAGGAACATCAGTTTAATAGTCAAAGGTAACTATATTAGCTAAATAACAATCACTTACTTAACATTTCTACGCCATTTTTAGGGCCTATCAGGAGCTGAACTTGTTATCATAAATGGAGAACATAAGATACTTAGAACTTCTAAAGGCCTGAGAATACCTTGTCCAGTAAAACTTTTGAGGCAGTGGAGCTACAGAAAAGCCGAAAGATACATTTTCTGCACCTATCAAACATTTAATCAGGAATCAGATTTATTTTAAAAATCTGTGTCTCAGCCAGGCACAGTGGCTCATGCCTGTAATCCTAGCACTTTGGGAGGCCAAGGCAGGCGGATGACTAGGTCAGGAGTTCAAGACCAGCCTGGCCAAGATGGTCAAACCCCGTCTCTACTGAAAATACAAAAATTAGCTGGGCATAGTGGCACATGCCTGTAGTCCCAGCTCATCTGGAGGCTGAGTCAGGAGAATCGCTTGAACCTGGGAGGTGGAGGCTGCAGTGAGCCAAGATAGTGCCACTGCACTCCAACCTGGGTGACAGACTGAGACTCTGTCTCAAAAACAAAAACAAAAACTCTGTGTTTCTAATTGGGTTTCAAAATTTTATTTTAGATACAATTTTGCTACTTGGCAGCTTCTCTGGTGAGAAAGAAAAAAATGACATGAGACAAATAACTTTTAACGCTTAAAATTTAAAAATATTTTAAAATGGAACTCCTGGTTTTTAGTGTACACATCTTTAACGGTTTACTGAAACACACCACAATCTGCTAGAAACTGGTATCAAGCAAAATATACCAGTTATTTGTACTCAAAACATTTTTCCAATCAAATCTGTATTTCACCATCAGCAAAACCATGAAATTACAATGAAATATAAAATTCACATGAGCTTTAGGTTCTTTTATAGTAGCCTAATACAAACAGATAATAAAAGCACAATTACAGCTGAAAGTTTGCCAAAAAAAATTTTTTTTAACTAATTCTGATGTTTGCCCTGTAGATTTTTTCTCTTCAGTTCAAAAGTTATACAGAATTGCACCATTTTTAAGAACTCTGAATTGCAATATAAGTCCATTTTTAAAACCACAGGCATATTAGGACCAAAGTTGATTAATTATAAGGTTTTGTTTTTCCGCTTACTTATAGCTTGCCTTCAACCACTTCAGTTTTATGCCCAAACTGTGACCCTTCATAATTATCAGAGTTGTTGAACCTCCCACCCTCTCCCACCGCAAAGTCAAAATTACACAGGTTTGCCCCGGCTGAGGTAGAATGAAATAATAAAACTACAAAGACCGAGCACTTCTTGAATTCTAGGTATTAGGTATTAGTCTAAAAAAGTCCACTTCTCACATCACACAAGTTAGCGACTGGATGTTTGATTCCTTCTGCATTCAACAAATGAAGCAGGAGAGTGACAAAGAAGTAACTTACCCAGGTCACATAGCTAGTTAATTTGCAGGAAAACTGACGTTTTATTAATATTTACTAGCAACTTTCTCAGCAGGCTTTGTAGAATTAAAAAGATGAATACACACAAAGCGCTTCGACCCAGTGGCTCGCATAAACAAATCAACATTTGACATTGCGAATGAGAAAACCCAGGAAGTCAGTGACTTTCCCAAGGTCACACTAGTGAGCAGTGGAGGGTCGGGAGCCTAAGCAGTGCTCACACTCTCCGCTCTGCCCCACTGTACCAAGTGGCAAACAGGGTTTAAAGCTAGTCCTAGGAAGTCTTGCACATTTCCAAGATCGCATGGGGCACTCTAACTTTTTAAAACGTGGCTAAATCATATTCCAGGGAGCAGTCACCTTGAGGTCAGCGGCGCTGTAGAGCCTGTCGGTAGCCCAGGACTCCCGAGCAGCCCCGAAGGTTAACGCGGGCCGGGAACCCGGGACCACCAGAATGGAGGCCCCTGTGGCCCGCGGCGCGAGCGCGCGTGCGCACCCCCAGCCCCGACCCACGAAGGTCAACATGACCCGGGCGGAGGAGGCGTCAGGAGAGGGTACCGACACGCAACAGCAGCATAGCCCGCTTTTATTCGAAGGTACCCCGGTAGGGTCCGATGGACAGGACTCAAACAGATCCTCTGAAGCGGACAAGACAATGAACCCCTGATGGTTCCGCCCAACTGCCGGCTCCGGTTGAACCCCGAAGACGCGGCGCAGTTTGCTGACGTCTGCACGCCGCACGACGTCGTGACATCAGCGCGTCTTGGCGCCGGGTAGTGGAGAGGTTACATGAATCGAAGCTTTCAATTGACTCCCTAAAATGCAGTGTGTAGAAAGAGTACATACTAGCTTGTATTATCTGTTGAGTGCTGTGCCAATTCCTTTGCATTGTCTCTTTCTTTCTCACTACTGCCCTGTGGTGTGTGTACTGTCAGTTCCCTCAAACTACCTCAGGAAATCCGGACCGAGTGACTTGCCTAGGAGCTCACGGGTGGGAAGCTGTGGAGCCTGGCGGGCTGCCCAGGCAATCTGATTCCCGAACCAGGAGGCGAGATCTTAAGTGCAGGGGCTTAAAGATACTATTATTAGCACAACGTTGAGGCTTAGCCTTCTACCTAATGACAAAATAATAATGGCTTTTTTAAAATCTGGAGGTCGAAATATATTCCCCATGTTGTCATCGATTGAGCTAATCTTAAACTGCATCTGAAAGGAATCGGGCCGTAACATTGAATGTAATAGTGAATCTAGAAAGGTTTTGGCAAGAAGTAAATGTGGGGAAAAGTTCCATGCTGGACGCCCAATGTTTCCATCGTCATCAAGTTACCACTTCGTCGAATGAGCTCTGGCAAAGTAAGAATGGGGAATAAAATAGAGATGATAAGTGGATTGCATCCAGTGATTGTCTCCCACTACTTCTCTTGCGCTTTTCTGGAATATCCAGAGTTTGGTGCGAAGGAGGAAGATGAAAACTCTGTTCAATTCACCATTGTGACTGAAGACAGAATCCTTCGTATTGTTTCCAGAGCCTTTGAAAGCTTCTTTATTTGGGGGAATTCTTCGGATCAAGAATTCTGTAGCAGACTCAGTTCTTTGTTGGAATTTTTATGAATTAAAACAGTACTTGATACACGATAATTCTGTCACACTTGTAAGAGAATGAATTTAACAACTGTCTTGAAGTGAGCACAATAATTTATATTCAGTATTGCCTAGACTTACCTAATTTGCACACTACCCTCGTTAATTTTCACCATATACTGTCAGAGATAAACAAAAGAAGACACCAGTTAAAGTGGTGAAGACAGATTTTTATTACAGTGGTATACTATTGCAATCGGGATGAAGATCCAGAATGAACTAAACTACAATTTGTACAGAGGTGACTGCATTTTAAAAGGAGAATACAGGAGAAGGGAGAGAGAACAACTTGATCAAAGTCAGGGAAATGGAAATTTACAAAAACAAGGGCAGGAGAATGGTCCATTTGAATCCACCTGGCTTGTTAACTGATGCTTACGGAAATTAGGCTCTTACCCTTCCTGCAAATGCTCAGAAACAGGGGTCCTACCTTTACCTGCTGGCTGTAACAAATTATTTTGTCAGCAGTGAGCTTTCTCAAACAAAAATTTAAAGGGGCTTCATCTTAAAGCTGTTAGAAACTATATTAGTTTGTTAAAGTCTTTTAATGTGTGTGGGCGAGTGGGTAGGGGAAGGATGTGGATGAAATCATTTGTGCTGACGGTCTGTAGTTTTTATAGACAAGTTTGAGGCTTTGCTGATGAGAGGGCTTAGAGAAGCCTGGGTAGAGTTTGGTTAAGGAGAGAATCTCTGTCAATCCTCATACCGATATATACTTGATATTTTTATTTAACTTACCTTTATATGAACATGAATGTCTTTTAAAAGAGAACATTGTAGATTACCATTAATAGAAAAAGCATGATGACCTGTCAAGAGTAACAGTAAATATAACTATAATGAATAAAAAATATGATTCAACTTTAGGTTTGGTCTGTATGGATTACAAAAGGAAGATTAGCAAATATTAGAAAAGAATTTTAAAATATTAGCCTCAAACTGAGATTTTTTTCTTTGACCTAACAAGAAGCATTTAAATAAGGTTGAAAGAAAAACTATATCTGAACGACACAGTGTCCTTGATACCACATCTATGTCTCACCTAAATCTATCTGGTGCCTCCACAGGTATTTGTCTCACACTTTAAAAAACCGCAATATCTTATAAGACTGACATCATATTCCCCAACCTACAAATGAAAAAACATATTCATTAGGAAAATACTGAACTCCACTATGTCAGGTGCCATGCTAGCTGTGGAAACTCAAATGAATTAAGCAAAATGTCTAAAATTACATAATAGATAAATGCAAAAATTATTTGAATCCAAATTTTTGGAAACTAAAGCTCATGTCTTGCAATATCTTTGACAGCACAACTTGATTTATTATTCGACTTGAAAAGAAGCAGGAGGTATAGCCACTGAACTTCAAAAAGGAGGTATATTTTCTTCTGTGCTTTGAAGGATAAGCATTTTTTTATTTTTACCCAAGGAGATAAATGGAAGGTAAGCAGAGGAATAATCAACAGCACAGCACATGTTCTCAGTTTCCAGCACTACCTACATAATTTGTATCAATTCGTTTCATCTTCACAGAGCCCTCTATTGCTGATACTCTTATTATCTCTGTTTTATAGATTTCCAAGAAAAATATGGTCCATGCTTTTTAAAAAACTGTCTAGCATCACACGGTGAAGAACTAAACACACAGTATATGGGGTTAATAGTCAGTAGAGGAACACAGCCAACATTCAGGACAGTGACATTTTATCTGAGGCAAGGAGTTCTGAAGAGCTCATATAATTTGCAAACTCATAAATCAAGACTCAGTTTATCTGTAAGAATAAATATATAATAGGGAGATTGCATTCTTATACAGAACATTAATCCACAACTATTGTATGGTTTCTGTATTTGTAAATATACTGAAGGGAATATGAGTTTGCTGGGGCTTCCATAACAAAGTACCACAGACTGACTTGGTGGCTTAAACAATAGACATTTATTTTCTTACAATTCTGGAGGCTACGAGTTTAAGATCAATGTATCAGCACAGCTGGTTTCTTCTGAGACCTCTCTGGCTTGTAGATCAGCACGTTCTTATGTGTTCTTGCAGGGTCTTCCCTCTATACATGTTTGTGTCCTGATTTTCTTATCAGGACTCTAGTCCTAATCATAATACTTTTAAATTAATTGTCTCATTAAAGACCCTGTCTCTAAATACAGTCACATTCTGACATACTGTCAGTTTGAACATCAACATATGAACATGGAAGTGTTGACACAATTCAGCCCATAACAAAGGGAGTAATGAATAAAAACAATCTATAAATATCAACTCTAAATTCTGTTGCAAAGTTATTGATATTGTGGAGCATTTTTAATACTAACAGTACCATTAATAAATGATTAAAGTAGTATCACAGTAGCCATTTAAAACACTTGCACAATTTTAGAGGATAATCACACAATATTAACAAAGGTTCTCTGGTATTGCTGTTAGGCAGCTAAAATTGTGCCACCGTGGGTCTACAGTATAAAACACATCTTTCAGTCTATTTTTGAGGCCCGTTTTTAAATTATTCTGAGTTTTTTAGACCTTTATATTTTTTTCAAATTTTGAACATAAAAATTGGATCTTTACAAATAATTTCCTGTTACAAAATAGAAAGTGTGTGGGTTAGAGGAGGAATCATTTATAGAAAAAAGGGTTTGTATCACTTTTTGAAGGGCTTTGAACAGGAACTTACTTGTTAGCATTTCACCATTAATCTATGCGGAAACAATTGTAAGAAAGGAAAAAACACAGATTTTTTGCTATTGTAGGGAGCTGTCTCTAACAATGGTGTATGAAATGGATTGAAAAGAAATCAAATGAGGTGATGAGAATGAAAAGGAGAGGTGAGTTTTTTATTTTAATAATCTAGGTGAGACACAGTAAGGTCCTGGGTGAATCAGTGGCAGAGTATGAAGAAATGATGAGTAGGCATTTTGGAGACAAAATTAATAGGATTAATTTGATGTAGTGAGATAGAGAGGGAGAAGCCCAGGATAACTCTAAATTTCTTCTTACAAATGCAAACCTGAGCTGTCAGAAACTATATTGGTGTTTGTTCAAATGTGCATAAGGGTGGGAGTAAGGAGGATGTGGATGAAATCAGTTGTGCTGCGAATTTTGTAGTTCTTATAGGCCAAGGTGGAGGCTTTGCCAGTAAAAGGGCTCAGAGGAACCTGGCTATAGTTTAGTCAGGAAGAGTATTTTTGTCAACCTTCCTGTTTCTCTTATATATTTAATATTTTTATTTAAATTAACTTACCTTTTATATGTAAATGTTTAAATAGAAAACTTTGTATAATTACTATAAATGGAAACAGTGTAATGACCTATTAAAAATTAACAGTATCAGCATAATGAATAAAAAATGTGATTCATTTAGAGTTTGATTTCTTTTGATTAAAAAAGGAGACTAGTCAGTGTTAGAGAAGAATTGTAAAATATAGCACCAAAATAAGATATTGGTTGGAACAAACAATAAATTCTTTTGGCAACTTTGAGCTTTCTCAGACTGAAACTTAAGGAGACTGGAGTCATCATCTATTTTTCTGGAAAACATTGACTAATATAGATGTTTAGGGGCAATTTTTGAAAAATATAAGTATAAATCCATAGATGCTATTCTGTTTCCTTAAGGCATGTTTCACAAAAGAATGCCTAAAGTGTGATGCGTTCTTCTCTCTTCTTTTCTCAACAACTTTATTTCCTACCCTCTGACTTCAAAAAGTTACCTAGTACCAGTTTTTAGAAAAAAATTTTACAGATGATTTCCAGAACTCTAGCCCCGAATTTTTTTCCTAAGCTCCATTTATAACTGCCTATGAGATATTGAATATTAAAAAAGTCTAACACCAATGTTATTCTCTAACACCAATGTTATTCAATATAATGTGAACAATACATTCACATTATTTATTCAAGTTTATTCACAAACTGTCTGAAATGCTAGGTATATATACTGGCTATACACACACACATACAGACAAAATGTGTATATATATAGTGTGTGTGTGTGTATATATACAGATATTTAGCCATGCACAGCACGCACATGTGTATGGAGACAGAGAGAAATACATCACATTTTAAATTTAAATAACTGACTCACATGAT